TTTGAGCCATTTCCGATTTCCGGCAGTTCCGATTTCCGACATTTCGGGCTGTTCCGACTCACCTCTGGTCGAGAGCATAATAAAATAAAAATATATTTATTAAATAAAAATCAAAATTTTAACTCGAAAATTTTTCAGCAGCGACTATAAGGAAGCGTATAAAAAAGAATTTAAATTTATTGAAAATTTATTTCTGTCAAAATGGTTTAAAAAGCAACAAACAACAACTGTCCATCCAATTATACAACAAATTCAATCTTCTAATAATCATTGGTGATTAAGGATTAAATGAATCATGAAATTAAACTCATTCTATCATATGGTAAATTTGTTCATAATTTTAAGTTTACTATCACGAATATCATGAACTTCCGTGATTTCTTAATGTTATAAATGTTTTCTTTTGCGATATAACCTTTAATATTTCATTATAAAAAATAAAAATCAAAAAAAGTTTATCAAACTTAAAATTCAAAAATTTAAACAAATTAAATATAAATCGTTAAAAATCATAATAAATTCATGATAATATTTTTATTTAAAAATAATATTTCATCAATTCATTCGCTTAATTTTAAATACTGTAATATGTTCAGATTCAAGTGGAGACCCCAAAGTTAATAAAAATTTAGCTTTTGGATTGTGTTCATTAATTAATGTAAAGCATATAGCTATTAATTTCCTAAAGCTGTGAAGTAGGCGGCGTGGTGTAATGGCTAACACATCAGTCTGGTCTACTGAAGATGCTGGTTCCCTCCCAGCCGCCGAATAAACTTTTACACTAGCTAAAGGAGAGAAATAGCTGTTCGACGTGCTTGAGGAATAGAATTAATTTTTTGGTGCCAAAATTTAAAAATTTTTGAGAATATGTGCTTGTTTTTAGCAATTATGGTTGCCGCTTTAGTGTAATTAAAATCGTTGAAATTAATACAAGTTTCAGTAATTTCGTCACAAATTTCCTTCAAAAATGTTTTTCCATCATTTAAAAATTTGGATAAATTATTCCAATTATCCTCTTCCACAATTACATTAAATTCATCCCGTAATTCCTTCACGGATGATTTTAAATGCTTATATGTACAAAGGCTTATGCTTTTTCTAAAATTAAATTTTTTTATTATCAAAAATAATTTTTTTTTACAATTTTTTCTTTCACAATATTAAATTTATTCTCCAAATTCTCAAAATTATTTTCTAAATATTCCTTTACTCCCGCATCCTCAATCGAGGTTATCAATTGCTTAAATTCACTTCCTTCGTTGAAACAAAATTGGAAAAGGGAATAAAATGAAAGCAAATAAAATTTCAACTTCATTTTTAGATTCTTAAATAATTTAGTAATTAAAATATTTAATAAATTAAAATTAGTTAAGAAAAATTTTTAAATTAAATGCCAATTATTTTTATTAAAGGAAATATCTTTTCCCTTGCATCTAGCTGCTCACACAGAGTCTTACGCAGCACCTTCCATAATGAACTACCGTATATGCTCGAATAATTACAATGGGTAACTATTGTTTCAACCTCTCTCTGGAGGGGGTAATTAATTGAGAGGATGGGCTAAATTTAAGGTATATCTCAATAAATCGAGGAGGAAATCCATTTATTTTTGATATTGATTCTTATAATGTTTCAATAATTAAAATTGACAATGATTCTTTCAATATTTTTAAAATTAGAGAAGGAAAGAAAGGGTGTAATTATTAAAGAGGGTAATTATTTGAGAGAGGTTAATTATTCGAGCATTTACGGTATGTTATTTTAAGTTTATATATGGGTTTATCATTATAGTTTACAATAAATATAAAAATAATTTTAAATATTTAAAAATAAAAAATAAAGTGAATACAACTATTCATTGCCATTAATTTAAAAACAAGGCCTAGGGAAGGCTTGGACAGCTATAAGTCCTTTGACATTAACCTTTAAAAAATAAGGACATCTGACGTTAATCATTAGTGAATGAGCTTTTAAAAGCTCATACACAACCTGCCCTTAAAATGCCCTCCACTAAAATGTCTAAATAAAAATAATTAAAGATTTCTCTAACTCTTTTCAAAATTAAAAAAAATTTTTTTTAAATTAATCAATTTAGAAATGAAGAGAAGGGGCATTGCAAGTAGGAGTAGTTAGAGAGTTAAAGAAATAAATTAATTATTTATTTATTTAAAAATAAAATAAGCAACAAAACGGGGTGAGCCATTTACATTGTTGCACTATATATTAATTTGTACTAATTACCCTATTTGGACATATAGATTTTATTTATTTTGTCTATAAGTTGTTTCCTTCTACAATTCTACATATTAGCATTGCAAAGCAAGTCTTACGAGACAGGACAAGTCAAATAATTTGACTACAGCCTAGAAAATTAGAAGTTTTCTAGTGTTTACCCTATACCTAAGAACATCACCTATCCCGCCAGAAAATCCAAACTTTGTAGCAAACCAAATTATAGTAGATTATCAATTAGAAGAAAGGTATTTCAGTTGCCCAATCTAAGAAGCAGATTATTGGTTGCTATTTTGGGGTATCTTTTTTATTTTTATAAAAAAATTTTTTTCTTGCCTTACCCATCATGAGTTTATTTGCACTTAAATAATATTTCTTAAAGCAATATGACTTAAATTAATCGTTGCTCTTTTAAGGGTTTTACGTGCATTTAATTTTATTTACAAGCTACCCCTATATGTCGAATTCTTCTATGTATGGGTAATTCCTAAAAAATTAATTTCGGTAATTCTTCAGTCAAACAAAATTTTGCTAAACAAAAAAGTGAAGGATTTGGGAGGCCAAGATTTTTTATGCCCAGAGCCGGAGTTACAAAACTCCTGCTGGTTTAAGTACTCGGTATTTGAATAACGTGAGAGGTTCCAATCAGTGATGTCAAAGTTCCAGTTCCAGTTCCGGAACTTATTAGTTCTAGTTCCAGAACTGGAACTACGGAACTAGTAAATGCCTGGAACTAGCTTGGAACTGGAACTACGGAACTAGTAAATGCCTGGAACTAGCTTGGAACTGGAACTACGGAACTAGTAAATGCCTGGAACTAGCTTGGAACTGGAACTACGGAACTAGTAAATGCCTGGAACTAGCTTGGAACTGGAACTACGGAACTAGTAAATGCCTGGAACTAGCTTGGAACTGGAACTACGGAACTAGTAAATGCCTGGAACTAGCTTGGAACTGGAACTACGGAACTAGTAAATGCCTGGAACTAGCTTGGAACTGGAACTACGGAACTAGTAAATGCCTGGAACTAGCTTGGAACTGGAACTACGGAACTAGTAAATGCCTGGAACTAGCTTGGAACTGGAACTACGGAACTAGTAAATGCCTGGAACTAGCTTGGAACTGGAACTACGGAACTAGTAAATGCCTGGAACTAGCTTGGAACTGGAACTACGGAACTAGTAAATGCCTGGAACTAGCTTGGAACTGGAACTACGGAACTAGTAAATGCCTGGAACTAGCTTGGAACTGGAACTACGGAACTAGTAAATGCCTGGAACTAGCTTGGAACTGGAACTACGGAACTAGTAAATGCCTGGAACTAGCTTGGAACTGGAACTACGGAACTAGTAAATGCCTGGAACTAGCTTGGAACTGGAACTACGGAATTTCAAAAATTAAGTTCCGGAACTAGAACTACAAAAATTAAAAACATAGTTCTGGAACTGGAACTAGTTCCAGAGAAATTTTGGAACTTTGACATCATGGTTCCAATGTAGAAAAACAGATGTTTAAGACATTTATTGTTACTTAAACAACTTTTAAGTCCTCAAAAACATTTTCAGTCATTTATTGACCTTTTGGGTTTTATATATATTTCTTAATTTTATTAAGAAATATTTTTCCATGTGCCATCATGCGATTAAAGCATTTGACTCTCAAAATGGCAAAAAAATATTTTCTCCCCCTCTCCCTTTCTCTCATAAAAGAAAAATTTATTTTTTAAAAATTATTTATTTATTTATTTCATTTAATAAATAAATATATTTATTTAAAAAAGATTTAATTAAATTAAAATTTAAGAATTTAAAAATGAATTTAAAGTTTTGTTTATTTTCATTTTATTTTCTTTTTCAATTTTATTTGAACGAAGGAACTTCATTTGATGAAGTTGTTGAGTCAATTCAGAATGAAGAATTGAAGCAAAATTTAAAAATTCTGAATTTGGACGGAAAATTAAAGACGTTGAAAAAACAAATGGGGAACAAAGTAAAAATAAACTACCGTAAATGCTGAAATAATGTCCCTCTCTCAAATAATTACTCCCGCTCTATTAATTACCCCCTCATTTTTTTACTCGGATCTTAAATATATTGAAAAAATCATTGTCAATTTTAATTATTGAAACAGTTTATTAAACAATTTCAAAAAATAAAACGATCCCCTCCTTGGTTTATTGAGATCTCCTCTCGTATAATTACCCCCTCTAGCGAGAGGTTGAAACAATAATAACCCAGGGTAATTATTCTAGCATATACGGTATGCTTAATTATACTTTATGTGTCTAAAGTTTCGTTAATTTTCAGGTGTTTTAAAGTAACCTATGGGTCCGTAACATTTCGTTGTTTTCGGGGCCTAAAATCACAATTTCGGACAGCCCTTTAGCATATATGAATTTAATATACATAGTTCTATTTCCTTCTCAATTTTAAAAATTGATATTAGCTATCCTAAATTTATATTAATAAGCCTGAACCAAAGTAGCCTTAGGTTAAGAAAACAAAGGAATGCGTACTTAAAACGTGAAGATTAACAAAAATATTCTATTGACACATGAAGTATAATTTAGCCAGAAATTTTTTTAAAAGTATTTTAAAACTTTATAAATTTAGAAAAATAAATCTTTGAAGAAAAATTTAATTTCATCCGCTACAAATTTCTCTAATGAACTGCGAGAAATAGTAGAGGGAAATGATTTGACTAAAGTGCGTTCGCTTCTGACTCTTGGAAAAGAAGTTTTAAATGCTTGTGGTGTTCGTGGAGATGATATGGAAAATGGAGTGGCTTTACAGTTAATTGGGGGCAATTGGCAGTTATTCTCAAATCTTTTTGCTATTTGGAATTTAAAAATTAATTCCGTTTCGAATAGTCACAACCGCCGTACAAAGCGTGCTTTTAAAAGACAGGAGGAAGAGGAGGAACGTATGAAGAAACATAATGAGTTGGTAGCTGAATTCAATCAACATGTTGATGAAGCTTATAAATATGTTATCTATTGTTTAATGGTTAGCATCATTGCTATGTGTTTTGCTGTATATTTTATTACAACAAACTTTGTCTAATTGTAGCATATTCATTAAGCCTTTATGGCTTTATTTAAGAAAGGTTTATGTAAGATAGATTAGCCAAATGTGAATAAAAAAGATTCAGTGAACCAAAAATTATAAGGATCCTAGTCTCGGAGAAATTTTTGCCATCGTAAGGTTATTCGGACTTTTTTCGGGTCATTATATCTGGATCACCCAGAGAAAGTGATTAACTCTCTCTGGGCTTTTTATGTAATTAATTTTAAATGAAGAAGTTATAAAACTTTTTTCATATTTGGCTATTCTTTTTATTTGATTATTAAATTTTCGAATGCATATATTTGAAGGGTTTAAAAAATTTTAACAGTAAAGCTGCGGGAAATCTTATTTCCAAACACCGGGGATTTTACAAACTAAAAAGTTCGATTTGCTCGGGCATGGACGTATTTATAGTTAGTATTTTTTAAAATGTCTTGGTTTTTTTCAAATTATTCTTAGTTTCTAACAAAAACAAACAACCATAGTATAATTTTATTTTTATTTTTTGATATTCTTGATTATAAATCTATATTAGATTTTATAAAATTTATGTAGTTATTTTACATATTTATTAAAAGTACTAAATATTTTAGTTTGATTATTTTTATTATTGATATTATATTTAGATTATCTAAATTTTAGTATAAAGCATTTTTCAATTTTTGAAATATTTTAAACACTTAAAAATTAAGTTCTCTTCGGTCATCTATAAAAATATCCATTATTATGTAAGATGAATCTAAGGACTTTTTCAGGAGTGATTGAGAGTGATCAACCGAGAGAATGATCAGCTGGGAGAGTGATAAACATTGAAATCGATCAACTGGAAGTTTAAAAATCATTTTTTATCACTTTTGTTGTGTATGGGCGTTAGCCCTTAAAGTGTTAGTATAAAAGCCCAGCCAATATTTAGTTCGTGGTCTCAGTTTTAGTTCTTCTCCCTACCCCAACCTTCGCCTGCTTTGTATTTCTTTGTGCAATAAACGTTTCTGTTAGCTTCCTCTACGTAACCGGGGACGTAACAGATTTGGCGCGGTCGCAAACCATTCTCGTCTACTTCGAAAAGAAAGTTCGGCAACAGCTACAAAAAGAAAAGTCCAGCAACAGCTACAAAAGAAAAGTTCGGCAACAGCAAAAGAAAAATGGCCCTGACAAGTAAAGTAAAAACATGGTGGGAAAACCATGAGTGTAATGTAAAGAACAGTGTCGATATTCTCCATGTGAGTATGAGTGTGAAACCTAAATGGTTAACAAAAAAAGTGTTAGTGAACGGAAACGAAGTGGAATTCATTTTGGATTCAGGCGCTCAAATCAGTTGTATAAATGAAGTGACATGGAAGAATATTGGTAGCCCAAAGCTCACTGGAGTGCCCTGCAAGGGTAGAAGTTTCACAGGAAACGAGTTTAGTATGTTGGGCAGTTTTTTGGCGAGTGTCGAAGTAGACGATAGTAAACAAGTATTGGTGACACATGTCACAAGTGAAAAATTGAATTTGTTTGGCCTACCATGGATAATTGAAGTTGAGAATAAATTGGGATATCAAATAGTGTCTAGTATTAAAAAGAGTGAAGAGCCGATTAAAGTGTTAGAAATTGAAAAGGCACAAAGTAAAATTAGTGAAATAGTAAACAAATTGTCAGTGCAGTTTAAGAAAGTATTTGAGCCAGGCTTAGGCCATTGTACAAAAATGAAGGCTCATTTGTATATGAAGCCAGGAGTGAGTCCAGTATTTGTACGGGCTAGACCAGTACCGATTGGCGTTAAAGACGCAATTGAAAAAGAGTTAAACAGATTGAGTGAAATTGGAGCTATTAAGCCAATTGAATTTGCTAATTGGGCAGCGCCTATTTTAGCAATTAAAAAGGCAAACGGCAAAACAAGAGTGTGTATGGATTATTCAACGGGGTTGAATAATGCAATTGAATTGGATAGGCACCCCTTGCCAAAGCCTAGTGAAATATGGGCTGAGATCCATGGAAGTAAAGTGTTTTCGCAATTGGATCTCAGAGATGCCTATTTACAAATTGAGTTAGACGAGCAATCTAAAAAAGTGGCGTGTATTAATACACACAAAGGATTGTTTGAAGTGCAAAGATTGCCGTTTGGAGTGAAATCAGCACCAGGAATATTTCAGAGATTGATGGATAAATTGATAAGTGGAATTCCTGGAGTGTTTGCCTATTTAGATGATTTAATAATAGTGTCTAAAAATATTGAAGATCATAAAGTGCAATTGTTTGAAATATTTGATCGAATTGAAAAGTGGGGATTAAAAATCCAGTTAGAAAAGTGTAATTTCTTTAAAGAAAAATTGAAGTTTTTAGGCCATATTGTATCTAAAAGTGGAATTGAGCCAGACCCAGAAAAGAAAAAGAAAATTAGTGAATTGACGCGTCCAAGAGACGTTAAAGAATTGAAGTCTTTTATGGGTACAATTAATTATTATGGGCGGTTTGTTAGTGAAATGCATAAATATAGAGGGCCATTAGATAAATTGCTTAAAAAAGAAGTGAAGTGGGAGTGGGGGCATGATCAAGAACATGCCTTTCAAAGTGTTAAAAAAGTGCTAAATTCTGATTTAATGCTAACGCATTTCGATCCAGATTTAGAAATAGTAGTGACAGCTGATGCATCGAATTATGGAGTGGGTGCAGTGATATCACATAAATTTCCTGATGGAAAAGAAAAAGTGATTGAATACGCGAGTAAGTCATTGAATGATGCAGAGAAAAATTATAGTTAAATTGAAAAAGAGGGGCTAGCATTAGTGTTTGCAGTGCAGAAGTTTCATAAAATGCTATTCGGCCGAAAGTTCGTATTGAGAACGGATCATAAACCGTTATTGGCCATCTTTGGCAAGAATAAAGGAATCAAAGTGTTCTCTGCATCAAGATTACAAAGATGGGCTTTATTATTGACAAATTACGATTTTAAAATCGAATTTGTAAGTACAAACCAGATGGGTATGGCTGATACATTGTCAAGATTGATAAGTGAAAAAAGTGAAGTAGAAGATAAAGTGATTGCATTAGTGGCAAAAAGTGAAAATTGTAGTGATGAGGATTGTGGTGAGGAGGACTCATTGTTAGTGGAAGAGTCAGTTAAATATGTATTAAACATAATGCTGGATGAAGTGCCAGTGAATGCCGAACAAGTGAAAAGTGAGACAGAAAATGATAGTGAATTAAGAACGATTAAACAATTTATTAAAAATGGGTGGCCAAAAGTAGTGAGTGATCCAGCATTAAGTATTTGGTCAAATCGAAGTCAAGAATTGGAAGTGATTGATGAGTGTATTATGTGTAGTGGAAAAATAGTGATCCCAAAAACTTTGAGGAAAAGTATATTGAAAGTGTTACATGAAACACATCCGGGTAGTGCAAAAATGAAAGGAGTTGCCCGGGAGTATATGTATTGGCCAAATATTAGTAGAGATATTGAAGATTGGGTCGCAAATTGTATAATGTGCCAAGCAGCGGCAAAAAGACCAATTAAAAGTGAGTTACGACCATGGCCAAATACAAATAGAAATTGGGAAAGAGTGCATATTGATTTTGCTGGGCCGTGTAAAGACGGAAAAGTGTATTTTATTGTAATTGATGCCCATTCAAAGTGGCCTGAAGTGTTCGAAAACATGACGACCTCAGCAAAAGATGTTATAAAGTGTTTTGAGTGGTTGGGAACCCATTACGGGTACCCAGAAACAATAGTGTCTGATAACGGAAGCCCATTCCGTTCAAATGAGTTTAAAGTATATTGTCAAAATAAGGGAATTAGTCAAGTGTTTAGTGCCCCGTATCATCCACAATCCAATGGGCAAGTGGAACGATTTGTGGATTATTTTAAAAGAATGATGACAAAAAATTGTAATAAGAAGAATTGGCTCAGTGAAGTGTTATTGTTTTATAGAGCCAGTCCTCATGAATCATTGGAAGGGAAATCCCCTAGTGAAGTGTTTCTTGGAAGAAAATTGCGATTGAATTTAGCGAGGTTAATACCAAAAAAAGTGACCTTCCAAGAAAATAAAGTGATAACACCTCAACAAGTGAAAATGAAAAGTTGGTTTGATAAACACCATGGAGTAAAAAACCGAAAAATCGGTAAGTTAGTGTATTTCTTAAATTACCGAAAAGATGGTAAAATTAATTGGTTGAATGGTGAAGTGGAAAGTAAAAGGGGAGTTATCTATAAGATATACTCGCCAGTGTTAAATGCCGTAGTAACTCGGCACGAAAATCAAATTAGAAATAGAAGCTTAAGTGAAGATTGTAATAATTTGTGGAAAAGTGAAAGTGTAAGTGATAGTGGATTGAGAAAAGTTGATAAACCACATAAATATGGTTTGAGAGAAAATATTAGACAGCCTCAAAAATTAGTGCTCACTAAGGAAAGTGTAAAAAAGTATGCTGAAGAGGCTATAAATTATCCAGTGAAATTAGTGAGACAAGTGGGAACAAGACAAAGATGAAAGATGTTGAAGACGATAATAATATGGAGATGTAGATGAGCCACATATATAAAATTTTGTGATAATATTATTGTTGTATTTTTTTTTATGTTTTTGTAATGTCGTATGTATTTTTTGTTCCCATTGTCCTTATCCCCCAAAATTATTGTATGTATTTTTTGTTTGTTGTTTGGCTGGAAAGTGTAAGTATATTGTAAAGCTTCGGCTTTTAGTGAAGCCGAACCTTTTTTTTAAGGGGGGAGGTGTTGTGTATGGGCGTTAGACCTTAAAGTGTTAGTATAAAAGCCCAGCCAATATTTAGTTCGTGGTCTCAGTTTTAGTTCTTCTCCCTACCCCAACCTTCGCCTGCTTTGTATTTCTTTGTGCAATAAACGTTTCTGTTAGCTTCCTCTACGTAACCGGGGACGTAACAACTTTGATATCAGTTCTTGATAAGAATCTTTTTTACGTTTGGTGACCAAAATTCCAGTGTCCAAAATTCCGTACACCGTTTAAAGTTTTCAATTTATTATTAAATACCTTGCTGAAAAATCATTTAGTCCCTGTCAGACCAACTTAATAAATTTTTACTTAAAAATTTTTATTTTATTTTTGCACATAATTTTTGTATTCAATGGCTTTTTACATATTCATTTATTACATAAAAACAAGAAAGGCCATACTACAACTTTTGTTTGAATAACTCAAAAATAAGGTGATCAGACGGTGCTTCACCCCTCTTTACCTTAGTATTTAGATATAAGTAGGTGTGTTTTGTTCAGAAAACCCATCTTTTTATTGCCATCATAAAAAATTTTAAACAAAATAATATAATAAAAAAGCCAACCCTTTAAACACTTATTTTTCAAAAGATCCAACACTCAACGTTAGTCCTTTAAAAAAGCGTTTCTGAGCATTATAGAGCCACAATTTAGCTAAATTTGCTTCACCCGTCTTTTTCTTATGTTTATTTATTTTTCTAACCACAAGATTCCGACCCGTCCAGACAGCCTATTTTGACCTAGATATTCTAAAATTTTCTTCGACTTGAATGAGAGAAGGAAATCAGCTTTCACTTAATGTACAAAACCTCAATTTTGTTTTTTAAATTTATTAATAACTCTATTACCCCAAAAATTTATTTTAAAATAAAATTACATGAATATTTAATTTTTTAAAATTAAAAACTTAAATTTTGAATTTAAATTTATTTTTGGAAGAAAAAATAAATAAAAATTTTAGATATTTTAAATTTTATTTAAAAAAAATAAGAGAAGAGGCTTTTGGTAAAATTAAGTGCCGCAAATTTTTTTCTAAACACATATACTCGATTAATTTCCCTGGGGAATTATTTTTTCGACCCATCCGTGGCATTTTTCAACCCATCCGTAGCATTCATAGGAGGGGAATTAGGTATTCGAGTTTTGAAATTTGAACGTGTTTTTGGAGGGGAATTATTCGAGTATTCAAGGGAGGGGAATTATATATAATAATTCCTATAATAATTAATATAATAATTCCCCAGGGGAGGGGAATTATTATATTATTATTATTCAAGGGAGGGGAATTAGGTATTCGAGTTTTGAAATTTGAACGTGTAGTAGGATATTTGGGGAGGGGGATTATTGTTTCAACTCATCCGTAGTAGGGGAATTATTTGAGGGAGGGGAATTAATCGAGTAAATACGGTATCTAAAAAATAAAACTTAAAATTTAAAATTACTATTTTATTTCAGTAAATTTTTAAATTTAATTTTACATATTATTTTTAATTTAAATAATTTAGATAATTAAATATTAAAAAATTAAATTTTTAAAAATGACAAAGGTTATTTTTCTATTTTTTCTTTTGGCATTTTTGACTCTTGCCAATGCGGAGGTAAATTTATAATTGAATTAATTTTCTATAAAAAATTAAAAGGTTAAACATCTAATCGGGGCGGATTGTACAAATATACATGATCCTAGGATTTTTGAGGATTGCCAAAATGATCCATATATGTACGACTGTATTGCTAGAAAATGTTCTTCATGCTGCCATCATCATAACGGAAATTAAATCGAAGAAATGATAAAAATGGGAAGAATTGTTAATTCAATCTGAATGCATATTTTTTATTAGATCAAATATTTAATTGAAAATATATTTAAAATTGTTGGGAATAAAATGATTGAGAAAATTATCCATTATGGGGAGAAGGAAAAAATTTGTTTGCAGCATTATTTTCAGATACGGCCAAATTTTTCTATATTTCTCCTCTCAAAATTTTACATTCTATTTTCATTATTGTTATTTTAAATTGAAAAGCTGATCTAATCGTTGATTCTGCATTGCAAAATGAAAATTTCGCTGTTGGATCAAACTTATTAACGATTTGGTATTTTGTGTATTTTACACCAAAAGCAGAATTAAAAAGATGTTCGACATTTTTTGCTCTTTCCGTCAATTTAAAATTTGAGGCAGAACGATATTCTAACATAATACAGGGTACCATATTTGAACAATTTGTAGATGTTTTTATATACTAAAACTTGAATTTTATCTATGAGATACAACAAGGAATAAAGGAAATAACTGGTAAAAAAAGCCCATCCCGAATTAAAGAAAAGCTGGGCTATAGCTATAGAAAGAGTTTGCAAAAGTCTGCGACCACCTGTTAGAGACCTGCGACCACCTGCTAGTTAATTGCTATTCAGCGGCTGGGAGCGAACCAGCATCTTCAGTGGACCGGACTGATGTGTTATCCATTACACCACGTCGCCTACTGCACAGCCTTAGGTTATTACTGGGGAATCTAGACAAATCTTGCTAATTTACCCTCTAGTTATAATACCTAGAGCATATCTGTAAATAGATAACTTACTTCAAAAAGAAGATCATAAAGTTTTGACAAACTATAGCTTCTGAAACTATTGATACAAACTTGAAATAATTTATTGCCTTCATTTATTAAAATATTAAATAAAATATCTATATATTTCTTTGAAATGTTATACTCATCAAAAGCGATTTTGAGAGATTCGGAAATTGTTAAATGATTTATAATGAATTTGGAAATATTTTCAATTATATTATTGTTGACATCTACAGGGTAAGCAGAATGTTATTGCATACTATTCATTCCATCATAACTTTTTCCTATAAAGATAATGATCTCAAATAAAGATTATATGATAGAGAATTGAAGAAGGAACAAATATAATCAAGAATTTTAGAAGTACCCAACTCTATCTTGGATACAGAGTCGAAGGCGCGTGGAAAATTTTGGACAAAAGTTCGTAATACTTTGTCGGAGATTTTCTCTCATTCTCGAACGAATGAAGACAGAGTGACTTCAAACTTTTGGCTTGTTAAGCACAGACCCTTGCCTACAAAACAGTGATGGGCAAAGTTCCAGTTCCGGAACTAGAACTACGGAACTAACGATTATCTGGAACTAGTTTGGAACTAGTTCCAGAACTGGAACTGTAACTACTAAAATTTAAAACCTAGTTCTGGAACTGGAACTAGTTCCAGAGAAATTTTGGAACTTTCCCATCACTGCTACAAAATACTTTAAAGTGTAATCGCAGAATTCAAACCCGGTGAGTATTGTAAGCATTCTTGATATAAGTTAAAACTGGGTAACGATGAATCTCTTGGAAAAGTTTAATAATGGAACAGGGCTTATAGGCCCTGAAGGAGAATTGTTTGGGCTAAAATGAGTTTTAAAATATCTAAAAATGTAAATTCTGAAAAAAGTTAAGATTAGGGCGTGTCAAAACATGCAAATGCATATTTTGCATGCGGATATTCCATGAGCTGAAACGCTCAAAAATGGTGTTTTTACGTCGGTACGAACATTAGGGACCGGGTTCCTATAGCATATTTTTGCATATTTCGGTACTTTCGTGCATATTTGCATATCGATGCATATTTTGGGAAATTTTGCATATTTTTACCTAAATTTGTGCATATTTTGACATTTTTTGAGAATTTTAGTTAAAATATGGCAAAATTTTCAAAATTTTGGAATTTTTTGGGCAAAAAATATTTTAATAAAAATTTGATGAAAAATTTTTTTCGAAAAATTTGTCGCGATAAATTTTTTTCAAAAAAATTTTTTTGGGTTGAATTTTAAGTTCATAAAATCTTTTAGAAGTGCTCTTAAACTGCAATTTAGATGCTAATTTAGTAATTTTTAAGTTTAAACATTTATATTTAAAGCATATTTTCATTACTTTTGCTGTATATTTAATGCATATTTTACATATTTTGGTGCATATTTTGGGATTTTCCGTGCATATTTTGACACGCCCTAGTTCTGATGGAATGAAAAGTGTGCAATAAAATTCTGGTCACCCTGTAGAGACAGTTTTTGAATGTTAAATTGTTGAGGAATTGTTTTGTCGTTATCAAATAATAAATTAATTAATTCTGGATTAAAAACAATTTTATTAAAGTCGGCATATTCAAAACCACAATTAAAAAGATGTTCTAACCAACATCGAATAGTAATCATTTCTGATATATTTTTTGGAATGTTTGGCAATTTTAAGTAATACGATTTAGCTTTAGACGAAATTACTTTTCTCATAAAACAAATGGCAAATTCTTGGTTAGATCTAAGATCATGTAAAAACAAAGGAATTGATTTAGATATAGCTGTTTCCCACTAAAAATTAATTAATAGTAAATTTTAATTAACAAAAAATGTACAAAAATATAACCTCCTCGATTAGCTGATCATTCAAAATGAACGGAAATACTCCATTTTCGGGTTCTATAATTTTATCTAACTTTTCATTGATAATCTTGACGTCAACCTTAAATGAATTAATAAGTTAGAAAGGTCAGGCTACTGCACCAAGCAGGCATCGATCTTGTGCCCCTAGCGGCTATTACTAGGCGCTTCGCTCACCACTTCGTAGGTGAGCTGCCTGAACCACTTTGAATTTTTTTATAAGATACCGTATTTACACAACTAATTACCCTCCCTCAAATAATTATCCAGCCTCTACTAATTGCTCTTTGCAGCGAATGATTGAAATAATACTAACCCGGAATAATTGTTTGAGTAAATACGGTATCTGAAATCCCTGCCTAGTAAGATTTTTAAACGAGAACGCAGGATCTTCCTTATTTATTAAATAATTTTAATTTACTATAGAGAGTTTATCAAACTTCATTCCTGCCATTTTTGTCCAAAATTTATTAATTAAATTTCGAAAGTAAAAATTTGTTTTATTAAAAGAGGCTAATTGATTTAAATTAAGACATTTCAATATATCTAGTTGAACTTCAATTGGCAGAGAATACATTTTAATTATCTTAAAAATATCCAAATTATTTTAGACAAATAAATTATAAACATGAGGCAAATAATAGAGGAGGAAAAAAGAGAAGTTCAAAAATGAGACAAAACTTTATGAGACAAGCCTGCCTAATGGCGGTCGCTCATATAAATTAATAGTTCGAACCTTACAAAAAGTTACATTCTCAGAGCTGAAAAATCGTCCATTATAATGAGATATACTTTAAAATATAGGTAATCTGGAACGAGATTAAATGTGCATAATTTTTAGCTAAGTAAGTTTCGCTTCGATCTCCAACTTATTTTTGTTTCCCTCCTAGTTTAGAATAAATAATTTGAGGGTAATTTTCCTCGCAACAATATTTTCTCCTCATACACTCGATAAAAACGATGCCAAGCTATTCACCTTCATTAGTTGTGCAATAAGCAAAGCTAAATAGCCCTTATGGCGATAGAACAATTATGTATAGACCAACTAAGATTTTCTTAGCTTATTAATTTTTCAGTAGCTATATTTTGAAAACTTGTGTTGGAACTATTATGTTTCCACAATAGACCCGCATTTTCTAATTTTAACTAAACAGTTTAAGAAATAAAATTTGGATCACGTCTATTTTTTTAAATAAATACAAATTTTTTTATTTTTAAAAAATTATAAAGTTCTTTACTGTCTTCTAGTTTTATTTTATTTAATTCTAGAACGTATTTCAAATTAGCTAAAAATTTTAAGACAAAAAATTTTAGCAATTTTTATCGTTATTCCTTGATTTGGTAGAACACATTCAAGAAAATTCAAGATAATTATTTTCCCCTGGACCTTCAAGCGAGACTGACATGGATATTAGTAGAATAATATTGGATAGATATTTTAAAGAATTATCACAGCTTGGCACTAAGAGTTTTTGTGCAAATTAATGATTTGTGGATATTAAGATTTTATTTTTGGGATTAAGGGACATAAGACGTGAATTATCTGCTGCAACTGTCGGGTAAGGCAAAAAGAACAGACAACCGTATTCTTAAACATAGTAAAGCAGCTGGGCTATAGCTATTTTTCTCCTTTAGCTAGTGCAAAAGGTTATTCGGCGGCTGGGAGCGAATCAGCATCTTCAGTAGACCGGACTGATGTGTTAGCCATTACACCACGCCGCCTACTGCTCAGCCTTAGGAAATTAATAGCTATATGCTTTACAACATGTCACACAAATAACTATCTGGAGAACTATTGTTGACCTCAAAGGTTGGAGTCCTGAAGCCCTATAAACATAAAATTGATCTGAAGATTTGAGAATAACAAAATCTAACAAAATTTAATACAATTTATAAAATAAATTTTAAAATGAGAATTAATTTAGAAGAAAAAAATATTCATTTCAATTATTTTAAAGAAAATAAATTGTTTTATTTGCTAAATTTCTTAAAAATAATTTTTTATGAGTCATACATATTTACTTAGCAAATTATTATGTGAAATGACTAGCTAACTCTATTTCCCTTATTTATTTTATATTGATAAAAATTTTAACTTTTTAAAGAAAATTTAAAAATAATTTTTATTCCTTCAATTCACTCATTTTAAAAAAATTACCTTCAACAAAAAATATTTAAATGTCACAGCAACAATGCATAACAGAACAACCTCAATTAACCGGATATGCCAAACAATTAGACGATAAACATAACGAGAAAAGATGGACTCCTGGTTATAATTATATTCCTGTAGATTGTTGTTTTTGGCCAGATTGTAAATGTTCTGACTGTGGTTAGAATTTTTTGGATTAAAAAATATTTTTTTAAGAAATAATATTATTTTAAGATTTGATTTAGTGATGGAATCAGGGTTGATTGTCTTTTTACCTTATTGAGGATTTGCCCTATTTTTGACCAATTTCGCCCTATTTTTTCCCTATTAAATTTGCCATATTTTGCTGCCCTATTTTTGACCAATTTCGCCCTATTTTTCCCCTATTTTTGAGTGGCTTGGCCCTATGTTATTGGTTTGGTAAAGACAACCCTGAGTGGAATTCTTATTTAAATTATTAAAAAAATTAATTAGAAAATTCCATTTTAGGTGATTGTTGTAATCATTGTCTCCCAACAGATTGTATGGAATGCTTGGGGCATATCTTTTGTTGCTGCTCATTAGCTTCTAATCCAAATTCTGGATGTGACTGCTCTGGTTGTGACTGTAGTGGATTATATTGTGGAAATGTTGATTGTGGGGGTGATTGTGTTATTTGTTGTTGTGCATAATGAATATAGTACGTGTAGGCAAATTTAGCGAAAAAAAGCCCTGGGCGTCTATGTTTCAATTGGTCACTTTGGTTGGGTTTATATGATATAGGTTTCTATTAGAGAATAGGCGTTTATTTTTCATTAGTTTGACATGGATCACATTAGCTTTACATAATAATTACTGATAAAAATTATCAACTATCACCCTAGATTTTCTGTTCAACCAGTAGGACCGATTAAAAAATATCCATAATATCAAACAAATGAACCAATCCAAAAATGCTATTTTATTTTTGCAGTGAAGAAGGGGAATACTATGGTTCAACTTTATGTAATTTTAAGAAGTGGAGAATGGATTTGATAAAACTAAAATAAAGCTTTGTTATGTTTGAAAATGAAATTGACAAAAAAATATTATTTAAAAATCTCACGATTAAATTTTTTTTAATTTAGAAAATTTAATTTTCACTATTTTTAACTAGCTAAAGCACAACAGTTTGTTTTTGAACATCTTCAAACTCAATTTGAAAAACATATCTATAATAAATTTTTGTATTTCCAATAATATTTTGTTGTTAATATATGAACCGCTCAGGGCATGAATTAAATCTCTTCAATTAATTTTCTTAATTTCACCATCAAAAGCTGACTCATTGCCCCCAATAAACATAATATGTAGTCTTAAACAGTTCTTCACCCCGTAAATAAATTTAAAAATAAAATTACATAGAACAAGAAAAATATTATTTAAAGAAGCCATTTAATTCATTTTTTTTGAAAAATTAATTTATGTATAATTCTTCCTTTTGTTTTATATATATTAGGAGTCATTTGAAAATTTCGGATCGGATTTTCAAAAATTTCCTCGGATCGGGTTTGGGTCGGGAAAGGACCGTATATCGGGTTTAGAGTATCCCGTCCCATCCTTGGTATGTAGTATATTTAAATAAATAAAATTTGTATTGAATAAAATATACCGTAAATGCTGAAATAATTACCCTCTCTAATAATTACCCCCTAGTTATTTTACTCAAACTTTAAAAATATTACTAGAATTACTATCAAATTTGATTATTGGAACATTTTAAGACTCAATATCAAAAAATAAATCAATTTAGCCTCAATTGGATTGAGATATACCCTAAATCCAGCACATCCTCCCTAATAATTACCCCCTCCAGCGAGAGGTTGAAACAATAATTACCCAGGGTAATTATTTCAGAATTTACGGTATATCGAGTTAATTTTGGAAAATTTATTTTTCGAAATTATGGCTAGGTATAAAATAATATTTAATGTTTGTTTTAGTAAAATTTATTTTCGAATTTTCCTTCCTCCTGATTTTTGGTTAAAACGTACGCATTTACCAAAATTCTATTTAATTTTTTTCCCAATTATTTATTCAGGATAACCCCCATTTTACCGCAAATCCATCTTTACCTCCTAATTTAAGCCCATTTTCATGGGGCCATTCAGCTTCTGCGGGAAAATGATAACCATTCTCTAACTTTATATGTTTTCTCTTTATAAAATTTAATTTTAATTAAAACTCTTTTGTAGCTTGTAATTTGGCAAAATCAAAAGTCACTTAATTCTATATAGCGTTTCATTTAATACAGGTAGATTTTGGATTTAAGGCAAAAACGGATGTATTCATTAACAAAATTCTAAACGTGGATTTCTAATCTTTTTTGTTTGCATTTATTTTTTAAATGATACCTCCACAATTACCGCAATGCCAAATTTTGCCCCGTAGTTTTAGCCAATTTTCTCGGCTTCATTCAACTTTTGCGGTAAAGTGGTAACCATTTGCGAATTAATTATGTTTATTTAAAGCCCAATAGTAGTTTGTAGATTGAGATTACTCTTAACATTACACGCCTTATATGGGCTTTATATAAAATGCTGGTAAAGGCTAGCAATACATGTATCATTTTAATTATTTTAATTAATATCCGAAATATTGAAAATAATACCGTCCCTGATACAGTCCAAAATCTGTCTAAAAGTGAGGATATCTGGAATTTTGGAGGGATATTTCTCTCATTTGGAGAGATATTCTTTGATATGTCTCCAAAACTCTTTCACAAAAGCCTGGAGATTGGGGGATTTGGAGGGATTTGAGAGGATACCAGTTGATTTACATAAGTGAGAAAGAGTTTAGCAAAAGTTTAGCCATCCAGCAGGATTGTGACCTCCTGACAGTTATTGCTAGGCGCTTTCGCTCACCACTTAAGGACTCTACCACTGAGCTTTTTGGGCGACAACTGAGCCACTAACTGAGCTTTAGATCGGTTAACCCACGTCAATCCCTACATATTGATTTCGGGAATTTACTGGGATATTAAAGAATTTTAAGGAAACTTTGTCCATAATTGTCGGATCGACTCTGCCCACACCCAGTTCAATCCAGTTTTCCAGGTAATTTTGAACGACACCACATATAAAATCTCGGGAAATAGTGTACTAAAAATAAAAATTTCAGAAAAAAAAAATTAATTATAATAAATGGCTTCTTTAAATAATATTTTTCTTGTTCAATTTTTATTTCTAAATTTATTTATATTATTTACACCAATTAATTGTTGTCTTGAAAAAAATGAATTCAATTGTGACAATAACAAAAATAAATGCTGTAGTGCTCTAAATTGTAAAACTAAAGCAGATGGCGGTTCATTCTGTAGACCTTACAATTGTGTTAAACAAGGTGATCAATGCGATATAACTAAAGATAAGTATTGTTGTTATGGATCTTTTTGTTCTTCCAATAAATGTGAAACGTGTTTGAAGGAATTCGAAACCTGTGGTAATGATGGTAATACTTTTAAATGTTGTGATGGTCTAGAATGTAATTATTTTGGGCAAGGGAAATTTGGCTCTTGTGAAAAATTTGGAAATTAATGACTAAATATTAACAATCTTTGTGGATTCTAAATATGCTTTTTCTTTCCTTTTTAATAATTATGTAATTTTCCTTCTTATTTTCATGGTTTTCTTCCTTATATCTTTATTGTAGTATGTACTTCGGATCCTGCCGATACAAACAATAATTTCCAGATTTCGGGAATCGAGACGGCAGGGTCTCTTAAATTTTTCTTCTTTCTTTTCATAATTAATCAAAAAATCTTTTCTTTTTTACTTTGGGGGTAGAATATTTAAAAATAAATATAATTTGTGTTGAATAAAATAAAAAAGGGCTCTATTACACAATATACATTAAAGTAGCTGGGCTATATCTCTCCTTTAGCTAGTGCAAAAGATTATTCGGCGTTTGGAGCGAACCAGCATCTTAAGTAGTTAATCGTTATTATTTATTCTCTACGTTCAAATAAAGTTCATGATCCTTCAAGTAGATTGGGAACTGTGTTGGTCTCTTAATCTCCGTCCTTATTTGGGTTCTTTCTCTTTGAAAATGTTCAACTTTATCAATTTATACTTACTCCACAAATGATTTTATGTGAAAAAACAACATAAATACCTCTTCAAATTCATTTTTAGCAAGCCAATATGTTAATTTACTACAATTATGATAACTATCTTTTAAACTTTGGATTAAGACATCTGATTTCTAAATAATTTACTGTTTGTCTTGAGAATAATTTTTCTGAAAATAAAACTTATGCTATCTTGTAGCAAATTTAAAGGGCTTTCGAATGAGCTCAAATTGAAAATTTAAAACAAACCATAAGGGGTCGAAAAATTTTTTTGAAGTTGAAAAACCCTGTTTTACGTTGATTTTCAGGGTATCGAGATCTCGACACTGTAATGAGATATGGGCCTAATTCTTTTTTTATTTTTTATAATATCGACAGAGATGTTTACTGTATTTTTTGTAGAATTTTACAATAAGTAGAAATAAAATTTTTACAGGGGTGCTTATACTTTTGTGACACAGTGTATAAATGTTTTATTTGAAATTTTAACAAATGGAGCAGATAACTTTTCTAAGGTATACTTGCATAAACTACAAACATAGACCAGAGCCAACTTTACGTTTATCGGCTACTGTATAATTAGAAAAAATGAAAAAATATATTTTTCACGGCCTGTTTTTTTACGCTTAAATTAACGACAAGTAAAAATTGTTTAAGATAAAATTGTATGAAAAGAGAAAATTGTTTAAGCAAGAAAAAAATGTACTTTTTATTATATATGTAACTTTCATTGACGCATTTTTAACAGTATTTATAAAATAGGTAGTCTTGATGTTAGTAATATCTCATTAAAAGTGTATTAAAATTTTCTAAAATTTTTAAATTATCCAATTAGTTATGCAGTTAATTTCTTTCTGTACTAGGGCTAAATTATTAATATATAAAATGAAGATAAAGAAGACATACCTGTATTAATTCTTTCTGGCTCTGATCTTGTTTAGTCCAAGGAAAGTGTTTAATAGTACATTCAAAGTTTACGAGTTCAATGTAGGCTTTGAGGAGAAATTGGAATTGTAGAGCGTATGAATATCGGGACCGATATCTCAAAAAATATCGATCTCGATAACCGAGATTTATTTCGAGATCTCATCTCGGCTCGATTTATTTTTACGAGTCCCATGAAAATATATACGTATTTGCTAAAATAATTACCCAGGGTAATTATTGTTTCAACCTCTCGCTGTAGGGAGTGATTAAATGGGAAGGGTTAATTATTCAAGAGAGGGACATTATTTCAGCATTTACGGTATGTCCGACCAAAAGCTTATGATTTTGAAGATTAAGAGAAAATTCTCTGCGGCGCTGAAAAGGGAGAAATTTGCCCAAATCCACGGAATCCTCAGAAATCCCTAGATATTTTATAAGTATCTACATATTCCACATTTATCCATTTTAGATAACTGTCAAGCCTAATTCCCCTCGATAACTCTGTTACTCCCCATATCCATTTACAATTTCAAATTGATTTCAATTTTGAAACAATTCAATTTAAATTTTACATTGTTTTTTTCTTTTGATTATGTATGTGTATTTAAAAATAAATTTCCAAGTTAAAAATCAAAATTGAAAAGTCAAACTCTTCATTTTAAAGGTAAACTCTTCATTTAAACTAGACTTATTGGAAAAAAATAAGTCAAGTTCCGAACTCTAGTTTAAACCCAACACCTGAAAATCAACGTAAGACGTGGGTAGGCTCGTTTGAAAATGTTAACAACCCCTTATGGATTTTTTCAAATTTCCATTTGGGCTCATTTAGAAAGGCTAATTTTTATAATATCAATATAAGCTTTGTCATAGTTAAGAAAAATAATTTAACGCCCATTTTGAATGCCCCATAAAAGGCGAGAAAGAACCGGCCAAATAAGTTCATTCGCCCAATCTCAAGTCCGACCAAAAGTTGGCAGGTTCTTCCTCCCTTATATTTTATTAATATGTATATTTGTTGAATAAAAGTTAAAAAGAAAGCTTTCCTTTTACTTGGTGGATCGGCGCGCCCCAAGGGTGGGTTACCACTCTTGGGGCCCAACGCCGACTAACTCACTGTAAAATTGGTTAGGATAATAATAAGCTTGCTGGAATTCTTGTAAATTTTTAGGAAAGTGATACTATACTAAAGGATCACTGAATCTAAACGGTCGCATAATTTTAAAAATTAAGTAAATTTTAATATTAAAAGTAGAAACTCCAAAATTAAAAAATAAATGATACAAATCAATACAAATGGACCAAGAGATCCTGTAAGCTTTTAAATAAAAAATTGAAAACAAATTTTAGCAATCTCCAAACTGTCAATGTGATGAATATCAAGACATTTTTACTTTGATAGATATACTTGTGCTGTTATTTCTGAGCATTATCTCTGTATTGTCTAATGGATTTCTTGTTTTAATTACTGTTAAATTCAAAAAGTATTTTTAATTTTATTTCAAAATTACATACATTTAAACATTAAGAGCGCTTAATTCAAGCTGTTTTTATTTACTTGGGGTAAATGCATTTTGTGACCTAATTGTTGCTTCCACTGGCATAATTGCCTCAATTCTTTATGCAATTTATGGAAAATTTAAATTAACAAGAAATGGATGTTTATGGTTTAATATTGCTCCACTTACTGCTTTTCATATGTCCTTTGTTTTTGTATTTTTTATTGGGTTTGATCGTTTACTTGCTGTGTTTTTCCCTATTTGGTATTTCATCATTCCATTAATAGTAACAATAAAACCCCCTATTAAAATCCTCTTAATCCCCACAAATCTATCGATGTGGGTACTGTATGTCCCATAATCCCCCTATATATTTCGTTGACCGATTGTCCGTCCACTGACGCATTGTCCGGACACGGACTTTATATTATAGTTTCTAAAACATTGGTTTGAATTATACTTGAATTGAGTGGTTATATATTTCCAAAAGACAAATTTTTTAAAATTAGTCTGTTTAAACTAACTAAAACAATTAAAATTAAGGCATCGAAATCTGGCTATCAAAAGCTATTTATCTTTGTTGTGTACAATTGCAGTGGCTGTTGGCATTTTGCTTTCATATCTTGCTGTTATATATTCATCAAATAATGATTCGACGTTTGAAATCTTTAACTAATATAGAAAAATATTTCCTTTAAACTTCATTAGTTAAGTTAATTTTGACGGAAAGTACCAAATTGTTTTTGGTGGCTGTTCTCTTTAAAATAAGTGACAGAACTCAATCAGTAGGCATGCCCGAGGACGTGAACCGGGTTAAATTGCGAGTATACTCCAATCCATGGGTTTTGATGAGAAAAAGCGAGATGGAAGCTATTCTGGGCGGAGACTCGATTCATATTATGGCTTAAAATGAACTAGGACTCGTGCTCTATATTCTCAGAAAAATTCAACTACATATTAACCAAATAAATGAAAAAATAGTACACAGAGTGGCAAGTATCCTCCGAGGCAGTTTACCGAAAAATTACTGATCTCACGTCCCTTTGCTAATATTTTCCTTTTTATTTTGATTTCTGGCTGATTTTAAATACATATATTTTTCGCTTGAATGTGCTAAAAATATTAATTTAGAATGCTGCGTTGTTCCATTGCTGATTTTTGGAATGGTGTTTATGGAGATATACTTTTACGTATTTGTCTTACATTAACAGCTGCTGCAGTGTTTTGTTATATTTTGATATTTATTAGACTGTATTTTCGAAAAAAGGCTCCAACTACTCAAAATAACGTCAAAAAACATGAAGGAGTAAACAAATCTATAATGATTATTTTATTAATGATAATTTTTGGATGGATATGTACTTCTATCAGTCGGCAATTAGTTCCAATATTTTTTCCAGGTCCTTACCCTGCAGGTTTTATAATCATAAATTGCTTTGATTTAATTTTGACTTTTGTCGGATGTGCCAATACTTTTGTTCTTTATAATTGCAGGTTGGAAAAAATAACAGCCTTTAGATATTTTTTACGTATTAAGTTAATACTCTCAGAAATTTTAAATTTTTAAATAAAATGCTGAAACATGTCAAACGAGATACGAATTAAGCTTTCGAATGGTATTTATATACCAGGGGTGGAGCTCGTGCCGCAAAATACGAGACACTAGATTCGAGATCTCTCAAAAAATACGAGAAAGAGATAAAACGAGATACGAGTTCTCTCAAAAAATACGAGATTTCACGAGACACCGAAAGCCGAAATATTAAATGGATTTGAAAGGATAATTTGAATGGATAGTTGTTTACGAAGGTGGATTATGAAGATGTATACTAATAAACACATGTATAAATTAAATATCCTAAAAGTTAATTAATCAATTAATAAGCCCATTAATCCAATAACCCGTTAATCCTAAATCTCTTTCTTAAACCCCTAAATTCTTATTAATCACTTCATTTTCTTCATAATTTACCCCAATCATAATAATTCACCCCAATAACACAAATTATAGCTCAGTCTAAAGAGCTCTTTGAGCTGAGTCGAAAACAGCAAAATCAACCTACCGTATATGCTCTATTAATTACCCTCTCTCAAATAATTACCCCCGCTCTATTAATTACTCCCTCCAGAGAGAGATCGAAACAATAATTACCCCTCCTAAAAACAGTTATAATTAGCCTGTTTAAAAAAAGCTCAAATAATTACCCCCTCTCTAATAATTACTCCCTCCAGCGAGAGGTTTAAACAATAATTACCCTGAGTAATTATTAGAGCATATACGGTAATCTGATAGGACCGACTTATAGACAACCGAGGTCAAAATGACCCCAACTTATTTAAATAATTTAGTTGAAATTTAATAAAATTTATTTAGCAAAGACTACCACAATTCCATCAAAAAATTTTTGTTTTCGAGAATAACTACTACTCCAGTTGTTTCAATCCAAGCATTAAAATAATCGAAGTGAAATAATTAAAGGATACTTTTTAAATGAGAAATATAACGATAACTTTGATATAAATTTTAATTTTAAAAAATTTTTACGAAACGATAAACGTTAAAAGTTAGATGGTTTTAAATGGTACCATTTGATAAATGGTTCCATTTTTATTTATTCCTCTAGTTTAGAATAAATAAAATGTAAGTAATTTTCCTCTTAACAATATTTTCTCCTCATACACTCAATAAAAACGATGCCAAGCTATTTACTTTCATTAGTTGAGCAATAAAGTTAAATAGCCTCTATGGGTTGGAACAATTATGTAACTTGACTATGTACCGTCTATAATATTCTTAGCCTTTAATTTCACTAAAGCTACCCTGAAGTAGAAGTTAAAATTTGTTTCCTCAATAAAACCTTGTTTTTCTAATTTTAAATAATAAATTTAAGGAATTAAATAAATTTGGTTCTACTGTATTTTTCTCTTAAAAAATAAAATTAAAAATGCAATCTCTTCCCCCCGATGTTCAACTTGATATCTTAAAATGCCTTAATTTCGAACAAATATTCTCTTTCAAACAAACCAATTTTTACTTTCGAAATTTAATTAATAAATACGAGAATGGATTGGCAAGAAAGAAACTTTATCAACTCTTGCTTGTAGATACAATTTATTTTATTTTTAGTTATTCCTTAATTATTTTAGGTGTTTGTAAACACTTACACCCATCGAAAGTCTGATTTAAATAAAGTAATAGAACCAGAATCTGGAGTCTTTGAACTTGCTTTGAATGATCAGCTTAAGAACAAAGTTTAGTGTAATCTTAATAATTAAATCACATTTATTTTTCAGTGGAAAACAGCGATAGCTAAATCAATTCCGCTGTTTTTACATGATTATGAAGCTGGAAAATACAACTTTATGGTTGCTATTTACAAAAAAGGTTGTACTCAACAGAGGAGACTCATATTATCCCCTAGACTGAGATATAAATCCCAGTTTCGAAATATCTCGATTTTGGAACTGTTCTCTTGTTTTGAAGTTAATTAAATTTTGCTTACAAAGGAGAGTGCCTGGGTGCCCTCTCTACCAAATTTCATCCCGAAGTCCAGCGGACACCTTAGGCATTATTAGGTGTCACTAGGTGTCACTTTATCAGGTGTCACTAGCATACTTACACGTCAGGGCTGGGCTTATTTCGCACTTTCGCGTTTCGCATTTTCGCATTTTTCGGCGCGAAAAGTTTCGCTTATTATTTTTAGATTTCGCCCAGCCCTGTTATACATATGTAATAAATTCATTTTTTAATCTTTTTTTTGATCAATTCTGTTTATTTATAAGACAAGGAAAAAACCGTTTATACTTTGGAATTGCCAAATATTCCAAAAAATATAGAAGAAATGATTATTATTAGACATTGGCTCGAACAACTGTTTAATTTTTACTTTGAATATGATTATTTTCATAGAATTATATTCAATCCAGAAATGATTAATTTATTATTTGATAATGACAAAACAATTCCTCTTCAATTTAATATTCGTAAACCGTCTCTGTTTCCTAGCACTAATTTATTTGAAAGTGCCATGATATTCGCCTTGAATCATTTAGCCGTTCAAACAACTCTTGATATTTCTTTTGGTAATCAAAACATATCAGAGAAAAATTATTCTATTTTATTAAATATTTTAACAAATTATGGCAATAAATTACCTCAAGTATATTTTTCATTTGGTGGTTTGCCACGACTTTATGAACTTATTATTGAAGTAAAATATCTGGCAATCCCGGAGAATTGGGGTTTCTTCGAAAATAAATTTTAAAAATAAGAAAAAGAATTTTTCTAAGGTTAAAAAATGTGCTGATTACGAATTTGAGCTCAGATTTTGAAAAAGTCGAATCCCGAACCCGAATTCGGAATTTGACCCCGGACATTGTCGAACATTGTACAAAATGGTAGAAAAATTCTTTTTCGTATTTTTAAAATTTTTTTCCGAAAAAACCCCAATTCTCCGGGATGCCAAATACCTCTACTAATTTAAATAAAATTTATTTTGAAAATTTAGTATGTAGCAAAAACTAGAGGGGACTGTTCAAGGATGGTGCCATCCATTACTTTATATTATTATGATTCCGAAGATTTATTACCATTAAGTGAAAGAGCAGAAAAAGTTGAAATTGAAGAAATTGATTGTGGAAAATTAACAAAATACCAAATTGCAAATATTTACAATCCAAAAATGATATTTTATTTTTGCCATGATGAAGGGGAATGCTATGGATCAACCGTTGAGTTATCCAAGAATAATGGAGGAGAATGGATTTGGCAGGAATAAGACAAAAACTTTAATGATTTATCTGTTAATGAAATAGTTAAAAAATATTATTTACACACATTTCTTTTAAATCTTTTTTGGGCTCTGGTCTAGTTACTCAGCTCGAGGAGCTCTATCGAATGAGCTATTACTCGAAAAATCGAATTTTTCACCCCAAAATTGTGTTTACTCCCCCTAAGGTTTTTCGATTTTCGGGGATCTATATCTCGGTCCACAAGCATCTCCGGAAAAAAGAGTGGTACTTTTCGACTCAGCTCGTTGAGACGAATCAAATGGTACGGGTCTTATATCGAAACCTTTCCACCGGTATGCTATACTATATCAAATTTTATAAAACAAAACATTTTAATTAGACAAGTTTATAAAAATAATCAATTGTCAAAAAAAATCTTGATGTCATTTAAAATCTACATTTTCATTATTTTTATTTTAAATTTAAAATTTGAGTTTAGTATGTGTATCCACTCTGCATTACAAAACGAGAATTTCACTTTTGGATTGTGAATATTGACAATTTGGTATTTAATATATTTAACACCATTGAATTGTTTAATTTCAACATTTTCTGCATTCCCGCTAAAATCAAAATTTAATCCAGAAGTATATTCTAACACAATAACAGGCACCATCTTTGAACAATTTGTCGCTGTTTTTATATACTATAATTTCAAATAATTTTGTAATTCCAAGGCTGGTCCCCCTTTTTTTCTTTTCGCCTGACCATTTTGAGCTTTTTTGCTTGACATATAATTTACAATATATCATTCGAAAGAGCTGTTCGAGCTGAGTAGAATGATACTATGATCGGTTCGATTTGGAGATTCTGAGCAGAATTATGAAGCTAAATCCTCGATGGACATGCTTTTTGTAATGTTGAAAGGGATTAAAACAAATGGTCATAACTATGTTTATTTAAGTTGGATTTCGATTAATTTAGTACCGTTCGACTCAGCCTGAAGAGCTATTTCGAACGATATATAATTTGCCATAAAATTTAAAAAAATCGAAAAAAATAGAAAGGAAAAAAAGGGGGGACCAGCCTTGGAATTACCAATAATTTTGTAAATTATAATTGATATTTACTTGAACAATAAAATCATAAAGCCGTATAAGCCGAAAACAATTGTCACTTTTTAAACAAAATTGAGGGAATTTATCACCTTCATTTGTTAGAATATTTAGAAGAATATTTACATTTTGTTCAGTAATGCTATTCTCGCTAAAATTAATACTAACAGATTCGGAAATTGCCAAATGATTTGAAACAAATTTAAAAATGTATTCAAATGTATTATTGTAAAGAGACAAAAAAGGTTTTTGAATATTAAATTGAGGAGGAATTGTTTTGTCGTTATCAAATAATAAATTAATTAATTCTGGATTAAATACAATTCTATCAAAATAGGCATATTCAAAAGCACAATTAAAAAGATGTTCTAACCAACATCGAATAGTAATCATTTCTTGTATATTTTTTGGAAAGTTTGGCAATTTTAAAACATAATAATTGAGTTTCTTTTTCTCAAAACAGAAAAATGTTTTTTCCAAAATAACAGCAAATATAGTATATCTAAACTGAAAATTATGTGAAAACAATGGAATTGATTCAGCCAAAGCTATCTGCCACTAAACAAATTTAAATGTAATTTAAATAAAAAATAATTAAACCTTCTTCTTGAGTTGATAATTCAAATTAAATTTAGGAACTACAGATTCGACTGGAATAATTTTATACTTTTGTTCGATATTGTCGACACTAATCTGGAGTAAATTAAAATTAAATGGTAATAGTTTGGAATTCGCCCCCCTCCTTTTTTCAGTTTCCTTGACCATTTTGAGCTTTTCTGTCTGATATATAATTTATCATATATTAAATGATACCAAGATCGGCTATATTTGATCATTCTTACTAAAATTATGACGCTAAATCCTAGTTGAGTAAACTTTTTGTGCCAATGCAAGCGGATAAAATAAACGGTCACAACTTTGTTCACTTAAGTCAGATTTTGTTGATTTTAATGTCATTCGACTCAGCTCGAAGAGCTCTTTCGAATGATATATAATTTGCCATAAAAGGAGAAAAAACTAAGAAAATATGGAAAGGAAAAAAAGGGGGGCCGAATTCCAAACTATTACAAATGAAATACATTGGTAGAAAAATATTTAATGAAATATTTACTATTCTGATTCGATTAAATTTCAAGCGAGCCAACACATTCTCACATGAATTAATTAAATTTTTAAAGTAACAATTTGTTTGTTTAACAGAGAATAATTGGTCGAAATTAAGACATTTTAAAACATCAAGTTGAACTTCGGATGGTAGAGAATTCATTTTAATTTTAATTTTCTAGAAGAAAAATGGAAGAGCTTAAAATTTTATTTTTTAAATTTATTATTTATGTAAAACAATTTTTTTGAAAAATGTGAGAAAATTAAATTAAGGAGTGTATAAATAGGTTATTAAACAAAATTATATATCAAACGCCAATCTTGATAAAAAAATTCTAAACATTCCAGTTTTTCTAAATTTTTGAACTTAAATTAATTTTGCTAGGGAATTTTTCTGTTTTAATAATTTACTATAAGAGGGAGTTTACTTCAATTCATAAGTATGACCCAGACAATTTTTTCTGAGAAAATAAGCGTCGTTCTTTACAATATTTGAAAAAGTATGTCAATATAAACTTAATAAGGCTTAATAAAAAGTGGAATTTTAGGGAAAATTAAACTTCCAAATCAGTAATGAAATAATATTTAAAATAAAACTTGATATTTTTCTTAAAGTAAATTCCCGCCATTGTAGAATATTTTTACAATTTTTTATGAATAACTAGCAATTTTCTAGCAATTTCTAGTAAACTAGCAATTTTCTGCTATTATTAGGTGCCTATTAAATAATAGATCTGAAAAATAAAATTTGGATATTCATTATTATTTTCAACTAAAATTAAAAATGAATTCTCTCCCAATTGAAGTTCAACTTGATATCTTAAAATGTCTTAATTTCGACCAATTATTTTCTGTTAAACAAACAAATCTTTATTATAGAAATTATATTAATTCCTACGAGAAAGAATTGGCACGAGTGAAATTCAATAAACTCGAAATTGTAAATAATAATAAAATTTTTATTTTAAATGTAATTTAGCTTCAAGTCAACAATGTAAATCAAGAATTAAATTTAGTTAAATTCATTGATCTTATGCCTGAAGGTTTCGAATTTACTTTGAATGATAAGCTTAAAAAGAAGGTTAAATTAGTTATTAAGTAATTATGTTCTTTTTATTATTTTAGTGGCAAGCGGCAATAGATGAATCGATTCCATTGTTTGTACATGATTTTGAAGATAGTAGAGAGTTTATTGTTCGTATAGAGAAAATAGGTTTATAAATATTGTGATATATGTACTAATGTAAATTTCTCACCCTTATCCATTTCCAAGATTCACTTTTTTGCCACGGATCCCACAAAAAAGACTTCATTTTGAAAAAGGAAGTGATGGAAGTGTGGGACTCGATTTAAGTTTTAGTCATGCTAGACAGAAAATTTCTAATTTTATTAACCTAAAACTTGAATATTTTTTCATATTTAGTAAATAATAGACAACATTATTTTTGTTTAAATTTCCCAAATATTCCGAAAAATATAGAGGAAATGATCATTCTTCGAAGTTGGTTAGAACATCTTTTTAATTGTGCTTTTGAAGATGCTTATTTTAATAAAATCATATTTAATCCAAAATTAATTAGTTTATTATTTGATAACGACAAAACAATCCCTCCACACTTCCATATTCATAGACCGATTATTGATGCTGGCAATACTACAATTAAAAATATTTTTGAATTCGCTTTAAATCATTTAAAAATTTCTGGAGGTCTTGGCGTCAGTTTTGTTGATGTTGACAATTCAGAACAATATATAGATATGATATTTAATATTTTAATAAATGAAGGCAATAAATTACCTAAAGTTTATCTAGCAATTTGTGGATTAACAAGACTTTATTATCTAATTGTTGAAGTATGTAAGACCTTATGGTATCTACAAACTTATAATTTTAGCATATAATAACTTCTAAAGATTGTTCAAAAATGGTTGCTGATATTAATTTAGATTATGTTTGTGTCACTACAAATTTTAAATTAAACGAAAGAGCTAAGAAAGTTGAAATTAAAACATTAAAATATAATAAAGATACAAAATTCCAACTTGGCAATATTTACAATTCAAAAGTGAAGTTTGAATTCTACAATCAAGAAGGGGGAGATGGGGCATACATTATGATAAATTTAATGAAATAAATTTAAGAGAACTAATAAAAAAGTATTTGTCTGACAATTAAATGCTTAAAAAATATTTGGGTACTTTTCAGTTCTGCCACACCCCTCCCATATATTCGCAGGATATTTCCTTGATACGTATGGAATGGTCAGACTTCCTCTTTTCTAGTTGAATTTGATTGAAGAAAAGAGGAAGTCTGACCATTCCATACGTATCAAGGAAATATCCTGCGAATATATGGGAGGGGTGTGGCAGAACCGAAAAGTACCAATATTTGTTTAATTTTTATTAACTCGATTAAATCTGATGTTTTTTAAATCTACTTTCATTCTTGGTTATTTTCACGCAGGACAATAAATTAAATGTTCTTTTCGAAGCAAAACTTAAAGAGATTTTCTGTTGTGTATTTGTTAACCAACAGTTAAATCGGATAATTAACTCTAGTAAAATAAAAATAAAAAAGCAGTAATTAAAAACATCATCCTGAATTGAGTCTATTTCATCAGAGTTTATCACTTCATCAAATGTAATTCCTTTATTCAAATAAAATGGAACGGCCACGACACGGTACTACAAAACACGATCGAACAAAAAAAACTCGCAAAACACGGAACGACCAAAATACGGACCATACTAGAGAAGACAAAAAACGGTCTTAGCAAAACATGAAACGGCCAATAACACGGGCTATAGATACAACTGAATTTTTAACTTTAAAAATATTCTGATTTTTAAAAATTCAAATATTTTCTCTTATCAATTTACCCTAACCTTTAAAATGTTTTAAAGAAAAATTGTGTGTTGCTTAGTTATTTATTTTAATATTTTTGCCTCATTACAAAGTTTACATTTTTCAAATAAGACGTAAGAACCTCCCTCAATAATGTCTAGGTCAACGATAAAAATATTTATTAAATACTATTCCATACTATTTATGCAGTAGAATTTATAATTTTTAATTTGCTATTTTTTTCAGATTTTTTAAATTAAAATGAATTTCGATAATATTTTTTGCGAAACTTCGAATAAAATTGAAGATGATTCTGATAAAACTATTAATGAAAATAATGCTTTGCCTGAAGTAAAGGTAAATTAAAAATGTTTAAAGTTTGAACAGAATTTTAAAATTAGTTAATATTTATGTAAATTATATTGAAAAATACATTCTAATAATATAAATTTTGAAAAATTATTTTTAGTTAATTCAAAAATCTAAACAAATGAATATAGTTTTGGGACAAATTGCTGTAATTATAAGCTTATTTGTTATTTTATTGTTATGTATTGTTTTGATTGTTGTTATTAACTCACAGAATAATGGAAATAAAGACAATGAGATGGTAATTTTTAACATTATAATTAAGGACTCACAAAATATGCACGAAAAATCGCAAAATATGCGCATATATATGCACCGAAAAAGTCCCAAATATGCATTGAACATATGCAAAATTTCCCAAAATATACACTAAATATGCATAAAAAATGGTGAAAAATTGCTTTAAAACCAAAATTTTAATTTAAAAAAACACTAATTTAGCCTATAATTTTGCATTTCAAGAGCATTTATAAAAGATTTTATGGATTTAAAATTTCTGTTAAAAATTTTTGTGCAATTATATGCAATTGTGTATATGCAGTAGGAACCGGGTCCTAAAGTGCTAGGAATTATAATAGGTGTTGGCGGATACTGATATTCTGAGATTTCCCAGGATCACCTAACTTTCCACCTCAATTTTTATGCGATCCTAATATACATACATAAATTATTAGTTTAATTTTTAATAGTTTACATTTATTTTAAGGTGTCGCAAACGGATTTTATTACTTTTAAAAAGACTATTAGTGAGATTTCACAAAGAATGGCTAAAATTGAAGAAGAAACTATTAGTTCAGCAAATAAAGGAAATAATGATCAGGTATTTGTTTTGAAAATGCACATTTTAACATTTATAAGCTGTTGAGATTATTTATCTTACATAAAATAAATCCGAAGAATTTTTGTAAAAACATGGGTATAAATCACAACTGTTGCGATATAAACAATCTTCGAGGATTAGAAATCGAAACTATAGTTCAAAAATGTCGAAATCAAAAATTAAATCATTTTTCAAAATCTCGAAATCGAAAACATATTTTAATCAGGGTGGCCCCTTCCAAAACACTAAAATAGAGCGCAGCCACTCAAAAATAGGGCAAAAATAGGAAATCGTTAATTTTTACCATTTTTTTACAAAATCCGAAGAATTTTTGAAATTTTTTAAGATGGTACAAATAGGGCAAAAATATGGCAAATGAGAAAATAAGGCAAAAATAGGGCGAAAAGGTCAAAAATAGGGAAAATCCTCTATAAATAGGGTAAAAGGGCCACCCTGATTTCAATGAAACCCACACAATTACGCTATTATAATTAAAAATTTCTTTTACATTAACATAATTTTTATTTTTTAGAAAAATCCTGATTCGGTTTCAAAAAAGAAAGAAGGCTTGGCAAGCTGTTTTAATTTTAAAAATTTAATTCCTATCAAGGATTATAAGTTTGAATTATTTTTGACAGCATACTTTAGCGTTGTACTGGCGCTTTATATATTAGATATTGTTGATGAACGCAGTTTTTCATTATATGAGCTAAAGCGATTCCTATATTTTATTTCTAAATCGTTTTTTGTTTTTTTTTATTTCGTTTTTAATTATTAATCTATTTTCTTGTTTGTTAGCTAATTCTTTGTGCTATTTTTTGTAAATTTTCATTAAATTTCTTACTGTCGGATCACATTTATATTATTAAGTATTAATTTATCGTATTTAATACCCACAGTGGTTCTATTTTCCTTACAAGGAAGAAAATTTTTCTTACCGGAAGAGAGTTATAGATTCGATTTGTTTTTCTCGGTTGGTGACAAAATTCCCATTGGTGACAAAATTTCAATGCCCTTCAGTTTTTTGACTAGGTGACCAAAATTTCAGTGTCTAAAATTCCGTATATCGTAAAAAACCAGTGAGACCAAAAAGAAAATATTTTTTACTTTAATAAAAATAATTTTAAAAATTCTTTAAAATTTTCTTAGCTTTTTTTCTTAGTACTGTATGTAATTTTCATTTTTTTAATATTTGAATTTAATTGAAGAATTAAAAAATGAATTTTAAATTTTATTTACTTTCATTTTATTTCCTTTTCCTATTTCATTTGAACGAAGGAAGTGAATTTATGGGTACTTATGAAGATGGAGGTGCCCTTTCTGCGGACTTTTTTTGCGGACTTTTCTTCCCTTCTTTTAAATGTTTTACTTGTAGCAACTAACTGTCAACGCCACTCCGCCATTATTCTTCTTACCTATTTTAAAATATTGAACAACTGAGAAAATAAATTGAACTCAGTATTGAACAACTCAATTAATTTTAATCTTCTCTTTATCAACAATATCTCTTATTTGAATATGCCAAGCTCAAACAGAGGAAAGAAGGAAATCTTACCATTTTGTACAATCTTAGGTAATAAAAATAATGGGGGGGGGGGGGGTTTGAAATTACCCGCATTTCTGTTCCACAATAACATATTCTTTTTCTATGAAGTATTCCGAGATCAGTGATCCATTGTCGAAATTCATCATCGGGTAATTGAAAAAAAAATTTAATGAAAATTTAGTTAAAGTAAAATTTTTAATTGATTGTAACATTTTTTACGTTTATATATTCAAATTAATCGTGAACACATATTTTTCAAATTGGCATAAAAAATAATCCTTTGACAGTTAATTGCTACGAGCAAAACTTGCTGAAAGCAAAACAACCAAAACATTTAGAAAGAAAGGAAGAAAAGTCCGCAAAAAAGTCCGCAGAAAGGGCACCTCCATCTTCATAAGTACCAATTTATGCAATTGATAACCTCAATTGTGGGTCCGCGGGCTTAATTTGCCCGCGGACCCACAAGTCCGCGGGCTTAATTTGATGTCATTCGATTCAGCTCGTCGAGCTCTTTCGAATGATATATAAATTGACCATATAAAACAAAAATTCGGCAAAATTTTGGGGTGGGTAGTTAAAGTAAATAAGTTCCTATTCTTCTTCTTCAATTTTTTTTGATACTTTTCTGTCTTATGCCATTCAAATTATTCAAAGTGGTGTGGCTATTCCATAAAAAACTTAAATAAATTTACATTTGTTTAATTTTTGGATTGTTTACTAATAATTTTTGTCTAAATAATTTCATTTTATTTACCTTTAAACCAATCTACTAAATTTTTGCTTCATAGTTTTTAAACTTGTACATTTAATGACAATATTATTAGGATATGTATGTACCAGGGGTGGGCTTAGTCTCGTATCTTATGAAATCTCGTGCTTTTTAGAAGTCTCGTATTTTGCCACTAGACACGAGATATTTTTAATCTAGGTATTTTAGAAAAAATGTCAAAATTTAGGGACTATTTTAAGATCCTAAAATTAGGAAAAAAGGAAGGGATCTTGCCCATTGACTTTCCAAAATTCTTAAATTTTCGCCTGCGGCGCTATAAAGGAAAAAATTGTCTTCGAGTCTTCCAAAATTCTCAAATTTTTACCTGCTCGCTAAAAAAGAAGAGTAGTGTTAATAGTGACTTTTTCAATTTCCATTAACTTTAAAATTTTTTTTTTGAATTTAGATAATAATTCTAAATAGTGTGTGTGTGTGGAATTTCTAGTATTTTAGGAAAATTTTACAATTTTTGACGGCCAAATTTTGAGTTTTAGTTATTAAAGCCTTTATAAAATCCAAAATTACATATATTTTTATTTGAAAATTTTTTTATTGTTTTCTTCGTTAATTCAATTTTTTAAATTTATTTTTAAGAGAATTAACAAAAATTTTATTTTTACACATTAAAATATGGGAATTTCGAGTTCAAAAAGTTCAAGTAGCTCAATTTCAAGTAGCTCAAGTTCAAGTAGTTTAAATTTAAATAGTTCAAGTTCAAATAGCTCAAGTTCAAGTAGCTCAAGTTCAAGTAGCTCAAATGGCACTAGTGGTTGGCGTAGGTGTTTAATTATTTGTAAATTTGGTACTTGTGAGTTATCCCAAACCAGTTTTTGCGGACATATTTTGCGGACTCTTTTGTATACACAGAATGGTCAGTCTTCCTCCTTTCCTCAATTTCACGCTATTTCACTATGGCATTATTCAATGAGAGGCAATAAAGAAAGGATTATTTTTAAATATAAATGACCGATTTTTAAATCATGTTTGCCTCATTGAACAATGCCATAGTGAACTCTTTCCTCAATTTCACTCAATTTCACTGTAGAGGCAATAAAGAGAGGCAAAAAAACGAATTATTTTTCTGCAATGCCATCAAATAAGAAAATAACAGATCAATCTTTTCATTTTTATTTACATATTTCAGTCATTTAGAAATATTTTTCTAGGATGATAAGCACCAAACTCTGCATTTTGAACTAATGGTCCGTTACTTCGTGTACGTACCTTAACAGAGTCTTACCAAATTAACCAGACACGGCCCGGAACAGCTTTATATTTTTGACAAATCTAACCAAATATGGTATCAACCCAGCTCAAAATGGTCAAAGATTCCGTAAAAAAGGGGTGGGGATAAACTACTATTACCGAAAAGCTGCACTGAAAGCACAAATCGGTCCACATTTTTTTATTCCGTTTTTGGTCGTTCCATGATTTGGTAAGACTGTGATTAGTCACGATTTTCGTGGACATATTTTGCGGACTTTTTTGTTTACACAGAATGGTCAGTCTTCCTCTTTCCTTAATTTCGCTATATTTTACTACGGCATTATTCAATGAGAGGCAAACATGACCTCTCATTGAATAATGCCATAGTGAAATAGCGTGAAATTGAGGAAAGGAGGAAGACTGACCATTCTGTGTATACAAAAGAGTCCGCAAAATATGTCCGCAAAAACTGGTTTGGGATAACTCACAAGTACCGTAAATTTTTAAACAAAAGTTATTTTTGAATAATTCAAGTTCAATAAAGCGGTGATTTTTAAGTCTACTATAGTAAATTGTTCAATAAAAGTAGCATTATTCATTACTTGTTAAATAGTATCAATAAAGCACATCAATTTTAGATACGCCATTGTGTTTAAAAATAATACCTTATATTTAGGGTAACTCAGCACTTAGGTGGCCACCCGAATTAAAAAAACCGTATTTTAGATTGAAAAGCACATACATAAATGTTATTTTAAATTTAGCTATTCTGAACCTTGTAAACATTACAAAGATTCCATTGTAGTTGATGTCTGGCGTAATCGTACTGCCTACTTACGTAAATATATTTTTAAATAGAGTGAACAACTTCAAAATATTTTTAAGCGTTTACACATTCAGTTGTTGTTGTTAAGTATGAATGTAACCAATGTTGCAAAATATTTTACAGATCTTATTTATCGGATGATGAAGGAGTTCGCATAAAGTGTGTTTTAGATTTTTTATTGATATAGTAATTTTGCTCAAGGTCACTTCAGTTTCACTGAGTTAAATATCCGTACGGATCCATAAACTTAAAATTCCATTGGATATCCAAAACTATATATCATATTCTAATATAAATATATCCTTTACTTTTTTCAGTTTTGGAAGGCCAGATAAATCTATGTGATTTATGCTTGGGAAGTTCATTTTACTGAAGGATTGACGTTTCTTCAAGTTGAAAAATTGGCATCATATGTTGATGCAAAATATGATTTGATATTTAATAATTGCCATGATTGGGCACTTAATTTTGAAAAGCTTCTTAGTTCTCAAAATGAACGTAGCTGTACTGTGATGTAGTCTCCGAAAATTTTTTCATTGTTGATAATCTATTTGTTTAATGTTGAAATAACTTATTTTGTTAGACTTTGTGTTCATATGGAATAAGAAAATACCTAACTTACAGTATTTACTCTAGTAATCCCCCAGTCTTTATTAATTCCCCACCCTGGGGATGGGTTGAAACAATGATCCCCCTCTTTCTACCCCACTCGAATAATTCCCCAGATTTTTTAATTCCCCACCCTAGAGATGGGTTGAAACAATAATCCCCCTGGGGAATTACTAGAGTAAATACGGTATCGGTGCGTAAATTTTGTTCTAGTAACTATATATTTTTAGTAATCGTTTTTCTAAAATTAAATTCTGTTTTTTAAAAAGTTCAGTTTTTCTTTTTTAAAAAAGAAAAATACAGAAAATAATTCTTAGTTGTATTGTGGTGAAACTATATTGTATTTTGGAGATATTGTATAACAAAGGTTTTTAAGAATAAATTAACACGCTTTAACAAGCAAATGATTTTATGAAATCAAAAAAGATTTAATCAAAAAACTTAAAACGAAACAATTTTTAAAATGTGCCGTATTCCGATTAACTATCAAAATTCTTCTTTCATAATTCTGACATGAATGCGAATAATGCCATTGTCTATCCATTCTTCATTACAAAATGAAAATTTTACTTTTGGATTGTAAATATTGCCAATTTGGTATTTTACATAAAATCCAGAACTGAATGTTTCAATTTTAATATTTTTAGCATTCTTGTTCAATTGAAAAGTTGAGGGATAAATATAGTTTAAGATAATAACAGGCACCATTTTTGAACAGTCGGATGTTGTTATATACTAAAATTTAAATTAATACTTGACTTATTCTTGGGTTGGGGTCATAAGGGCGCAGGCCATTAGGACGCCAGCACTAGAAACTGACACTTAGGCGAAACCGAAATTTATGAAAATTTTCTCAAATTTCTTTAACATCATAGACTACCTCCTCAATAAATTACAGAATTTTTCATCGAATATTTCTGAAGTTATAGTCGATAGACCGCGAAAAATTAGGGTTTTTTCGGAAAATCAACATTTTTGGCCATAATTTCCGAAATTCTTGATCAAAAATTCTGAAATTTTTGGAGAACGTAGATAAAGGCATGCGAGTTATTATTGTAAAATTTTATCTTTTTTCATAAGCGACTCACTGTTTTATAAACTCGCGGCCTAATGTCCCCGCGCCTAATGGCCCAGTCCCTTATTCGTTATCAAATAATAAATTAGCTTAATAACTTGTATTATTAGGTCATAAAGCCTTGCCAAATCAACACTATTGAAACTATTGAGACAAATTTTAGGTAATCTTTGGCCTCCATTTGTTAAAATTTTAAATAAAATATTTATATTTTCCTCTGTGATATCAGCCTGTTTATAATTGAAAGTAAGAGATTCGGAAATTATCAAGTGATTCAAAACAAATTTGGAAATATCTTCTAATTTATTATTTTCTGTTAATAAACAGCATTCTTGAATATTAAATTGGAGAGAATTTGTTTTGTCGTTATCAAATAATAAATTAATCATTTCTGGATTAAATATAATTTCATTAAAATAGACATATTCAAACACATAATTAAATATTTTTTCTAGCCAACAACGAAGAATAATCATTTCTTCAATATTTTTTGGAATATTTGGCAATGTTGAAAGGGAACAAAAATGATTATTACCATCCAATAATTTTTCCATTTCAATAACAAATTTTCGGTGCGATTCAAAACTATTAGAAAACAAAAAAATTGATTCAGATATCGCTTTTTTCCACTAAAAAACAAATGTGATAAGAAAAATCCGAAAGAGCTCGCCGAACCTTATTAATAATAAGTCGACCATTCAAAGTAAATTTAAAGTCGTCAGGTACACGTTTAACGAATTCATTTATTTTTATCTCCTGAGGACTTTCAATCTGAAATTTAAATTAAAATAATTAATAAATTTTAATTGATTAGGGACAGATAAAGTTCAGCCCAGGGTAGGCATCAAATTGAAACCTCCCGGCATTTATTTCTAGCGCCATCGGCACCGCGTTAGGTGCTCGAACGACTAAGAGGCGCACTGCTTTCACCTGGATCTTAACCCCCACCTAGGTACAGTTTTAAGTGCGCCATCGGCACCATCTGGATCTTTGTTCTTCACTACAATAATAAATTAAATATATAAATTTTCTATTTCGAGTTTATTAAATTTCATTCTCGCCAATTCACTCTCATATTTATTAATTAAATTGAGAAAGTAAAGATTTGTTTGTTTAAAATAAAATAATTGATCAAAAGTAAGACATTTCAATACATCAAGTTGAACCTCGGTTGGTAGAGAATACATCTTAATTATTTAATTATCTAAAAAATAAAATCAGAAAGAGACAGAAAGTCTTCAAATTAGAGACCAGACTTTCTCAAAATCCTTCTTGATCAAAAAAACCTTAATCAAATGAATCCTTAATATTTTCCCGAAATTCGTCTTACTCAACAAATCCGCCCGATTTCCCTCTTAATCCCCCGCCGATCCAAAATCCTGATCACTATTTACTATCACTTATTAATTAAAATTATCAAGGTTTCTTTGTTAATTTTTCCAAAACTTTTATAAAAATAAAACGGAAATTTAAACACACAAAAATTGTTTTTTGACTAATAAAAAAGCGAAAATAAAGATTAGGTATAAATTAATTTGAATTTACGGAGAAAATAATTCCTTGTTGACTCCCTATCGAAAATATTCATATTTAAATATAAATTAAATTTATTTTCCACATATGTATAAGAAAAGTATTATTTTAGGCAAGTTAATATGAAAAATATACACAAACTTGTTTAAATTTAACAAAAAGAAGGGGAATTCTGCCGTTCACTCATCCCTTCTCTCATCATTTTACCAAGATTTTTCAAAGTTTCATTTAAAAAAATCAAAAAAAGATTAAATTTGTTAATTGCCATTAGCAGAAAAAAGGTAAAATAAATAGGGAAATACAAAAATGAAACTGAAAAACGGCAGAAATGCTAGAGCAATGTGGCATTCATTTTATTTACTTTTAATTTATTTTTTTGATAAATATTATTTTATATTTTTTTAAACAAATTTTTTAAAATTTCTTTTTAAAAATTATTTTTCCTTGTTTTTTCCATTAAAACCATTTACGAATGATTTTCAATAATTAAACAGAAATTTTTTTTTAATTTTAAGATAATTTATACTAATTACAACAAGCATAAAAATTCAAAATCTTTCTAAATAAAATGAAGCTTCTTCCACCGGAAGTTCATCTTGATATATTTAAATTTTTTAATTTTAATCAATTATTAAATATTCAACAAACAAATGTTTACTTCAAAAATTTCATTAATGACTATGAGGAGGAATTGGCGCGAATGAAATTCAATAACCTCATTATTGTTATTGTTTATAAATTGGGTAATTTATGGATATACCACCTAAGGTTGGCGGTCCGGGTTATTCGGAACCGAAAAAAGACCGGATAACCGAAGATTTCCCAGGAACCGCCATCCTTAATACCATCCCCTCCCTATTTTGAGTATCAGAGTTTTTCAATATGTGCTTTTTTCTAAAGAAGAGATTAATTTTTCAATCCTTTATTTGTTGGCCAAAGGGAAATAGAATACTATCGAGAAAGAAAGGAACACAAATTGAAAAAACTGATACTAAAAACATGGGGGGGGGGGTGGTATATCCATAAGTACCATAAATTAATTTAATTATCATTTTATTCTTTAGTTCCGTATCCATAATTGTGATTCGAATGAATATAAATCTTTTAATCCAACCCCCAAACTTTATGATTTTCAATTGAGTGAAGAACTTGAGAATAAGGTTCAAAATAAATATTTTTATTTCAAAAAAAAACTAATTTTAGTGGAAAATTGGAATTAGAAAATCAATTCCTATGTTTTTAAATGATGATTTATCAACTTGGTGGTTGGCGGACTGTTTTTATGTATTGGGACAAGGTGATCTTTCTAATCACATATTTTGGAATTTAATAATAAACTTGGTGGTTTACGTCGATTTGACCGAATAGCTCGAGTATTTCCTTAATAACGCGTTTGTTTTAGTCACACATTGGTATTAAACTCACGGTTTAAAGATACGGCGGGTTAAAAGGAAAAATTTATATTTAACGTTATGTAGGGATTCTTCAAGAAGGGAGCAGGCCAACCTACCGCGAGGCCAATACCACCGAGCTATAACTTCGTCAGAATTGTCGAATCCGGGACGTCATGATATGGTTCGATTCAGCTCGTCGAGCGCATCGAACCATACCAGGGTGTCCCAGATTCGACAATTTGAACGAAGTTATAGCTCGGCGGTAGGTTGGCCTCGCGGTAGGTTGGGGTGTACCCTTGAAGAGTAAGGACACAGATTCCTCCTCCTTCCTCCTTTTTATTTGAAAATTATGATTTTATAATTAAATTTTATTTAGGACCACACTATTTAAAAGTACCGAACCTTCCAAAAACTATTGAAGAAATGAAGATTGCTCGATATTTACTTCAACAACTTTTTACTTCATTCTTTGGAATTGTTCAGTTAGATATAATATTGAATCCACAGATGATTGAATTATTATTTGGTGAAAATGAAACAACAAAAATACCATTACAAATTCAATCTCAAAATGCCATTTTATATAGTATAGACAAAAATAATGATAATTATTTTTTAAAATTTGCAATGAATCATATTATTTCTAATCAAGTTACTGTTCGTTACTTCGGGGACACTAATCTTGAGCGAAATACTAATATTTTATTTAAAATGTTAACGAATGGAGGAGATAAATTTTCTAAAATTTGTTGTTGCTATAATCATTCTCTAGAGCTTAATGATATTATTATAGAGGTAATATTATTATATACTTATGTATGTTTACTTATAAATTATAAATTACATTTTAATAAGCCCAAAATACAAGCTTATCAGCCCTTATCCAGTCTTTTTTTGTTATTAGCCAAAATTTTAAAATATTTTAATTTTTTAAAGAATTTAATTTTTAGCATATCGAAGCATCAAAAGACCTTTCTAAAATGGCGAAGGAAATTAAATTATCTAAAGTTCAAGGACCTATTATTTTACAATTTCATATAATAATTAAGTTTTGAAATCAAAAATTTGATTTCCGATTTCCGAAATTTTTTTCCTTCCGATTTCCAAAAAAATTTTGATTTCTGAGTTCCAATTTCCGGCTCACCCGATTTCCAGTTTTGAAATCCTGGAGACATTAAATAAAAAGAAATGAATAATAAAAGATTAAGGTCAATATGCAAATTGACAAAATGATAAAAGAGAAAAGGGCGTGGTCTGTTTAATAGATATTTTATGTAACTTACCTATTCATTCTTCAACATTCATTTTAAAGTAAAAGAAGAATTTTTCTAGGTTCGTCCATTAATTTAATTTTATTTAAAAATAAAATAGTTCTGTTGCTTGCCTTGCCAAGGGAAAGTAAATAAACGAAGTAAAGGGAAAGTAAATAAACGAACTTCTTTCTCATAATTTTGGCTTACAAAATTGGTTAATTGCCCGGAACCGATTGTAAACCAGAGCCGGATCCAAGTTTAGTTCAGGATCCCGGAACCGGAACCAAAAACGTCGGAACCTTCCGGGACCGGAACTTACTGTAAAACTCTGATATGTTATACATATTACCTTAATTCTAACTTCTTTTTCATAATTTTGGCTTACTAAATAAGTTAATTCTTTTAATAATAGAAGTATCAATCACAAGACTAATTTTGTTTTTGTTAGATATCACAACTTTAATTAAATTAATTTTCAGTGATTTTTATTATTATCTTTTTTTTAAATGAGTTTATTAAATAATCAGTCTTCTTGTTCTAGTTGTAGTCTCCAAGTTCGTATTCAACAGTTGGAGGTTTAAAAAATATTTTTTGAAAAGATTAATTTTATTTAATTTTAGAATGATAATAATGAAATCCAGACAAATTTACAAAAATCGAATGAAAAAATTGCGGAACACGTAAATTTTGTGGAAAAATATGTAAAAATCTATGCCCCCCCCCAATATCAACTTCCTATAAAATAATTATTAATTAAATACAAATGCCGGTAATTCCTCGGTTCGTACCCCCCCCCCCCCCCACACTCCTTTTTCCTTCCTCAAAGTGTTAAAAAATGGTCAGTCTTATGTTATAGAACTCGTCGAGCTGCGTCGAATGAACCCAAAATCAAAAAAATCTGACATGATTTGACCCAGATACAAACCCCTGAAAATTAAACAACCATAGGGGCGAAAAACCATGGGCACGTAAATTTAAGCAAATGATAGCTCATTCGAGAGAGCTCATCGAGCTGAGTCCCCTTTATAATTATTAAATACAATATCGTCATTGCTAACGGCTCGGTACCGATATCGGGATCTGCCTATCGGTATCGGTATCGGAAAAATCGGTATTAAAAAACCGGTGTAATGCCGCCCTATGTATACCGGTCGGGATCCCGATACTGCTCAACCCTAGTTTTATAGCAAAAAGGATTTTTCTATCAAATTTATTCAATTTTGTCTTTAAGGATTTGTTGCTTCAACGAAACAACGAATTTCAACAAATGCATTTAGCATTTGTTTTTGAGAGAAATAAACGTTTAAATTTAAAAGAAGAAAATGAAAATTTGGTAAATAAATTTGAAAAAGAGAAAGAAAAAATTGAAGAATTAAATAGAGAATTGGAAAAAAGTGAAATAATAATTGATAAATTAAATTATGATAAAGAAAATATTCAAGCAATGTTTGATGAAGCAGCTATTTATATTGTTGAATTGAGAAATGAAATTAAATATAAACAAGAAATATTTGAAGTAAGTTTAAAGAAATTAAAATATTTGTTAAATATTGAGGCTTGAAAATTATAAATTTGATTGCCCTCTCTCTTTTTCCTTCCTGGATTTACTTAAAGGATAAACTTCTTCCTCAAATCCACTCAAATTCCCCCTCAAAAATTCATTTATTTAACGTTTCTCGTTTGAATGTAAAATTGAGGGAGTTCAGCTAAAGCTAAAGCTACTTTTAAGAAGTGATATATATATATCAATGAGCTCAAACCGTATTGGTTAAACTTTAGAATTTACGGTTTTTTCTAAATATTTTCGGATTCCGAATTTTCAAAATTTTTTAGAAAATCTTAAATTTTTCTTATTCCCTCGGCAATAAATATTGAGAATATTTTGATACTTTTTTCGAAATTTTTAATCTGAGAGGGTAACCATAAAAGTAGGAAAAGTCTTCTTCTCAATTCAGCGAAAAAGTCGTTCAATTATAGTACATACATTAATGTCTAGATTAGGCTTGTCGGTTCTGGACCGAATCGAACCGTAGAACCGATGATTTTTCGGTTCGGATATCGGTTCGGTTCCGGATATCCGAAGATTTTCCAAGAACCGACAACCCTAGTCTGGATAATTATTTTAAAATGGAAAATATTAAAATTTTCAATTCTATATATTTTTAAGATTAATAAACAAACAAATAATTATTTGGATCAAATTGATCAGTTAAAATTAGAAAATGAAAATCTTGTTAAAAATTTGCAAGAAAAGGAAGAAAATATTTGTTCAATTAATCTTCAGTTGAATAAGGTGAAAAATAAATTTTAGTTTAAGAATTTGTTTTTTAAATAAATATTTTTTATGAAAAAATTTTATAATCGGGCTTAACTTTTGCACAAAAAATCTGATTTTATAAGGAGGAGGGAGTAAAAGTAGTGCTTGATTTCGCATTTATACACCTTTCTGGCAAGAAAACTGAATTTGATGCGAAACCGTTACGTAGAGCTGTTTCGAAATTCAAAAAAAGTAAATCGAACATTTGAAAATCGGAATTTACACAGTCGGTATACAAATGAGGTCCCCGACTATATTTCAGTTAATTTTCTATCTTAAATACATATCAAAAATTTTAAATACTAGTTAAATTACAAAATTTAATCTTTAAAAGGTTGTTCAAGAAAAACAAATTTTCTCAGAGGAAATTGATCAATTAAAATTGGAAAATGGAAATCTTCGTGAAAATGTTGGGGAAAAAGATGAAAAAATTAAATTGTGTGAGGAACAAATTAAAAAGGTAAATTTTTAAAATAAATTTAAATTCGATTTAATTTAATTTTGTAGATTAATGAAGAAAATAAAAAATTTTTGGAAGAAATTACTCAAATAAATTCGAAAAATAAAAGCCTTACTAAGGACATTAAAGAAAGTGAACTAACAATTTGTTCGATTAATGATCAGTTACAAGAGGTTAATAAATAAAAATAAATTTTTTATTAAAAAATTTAAAATATATTTAAATTAACAAAAATACAGGGTAAAATTAGAATAAGGATTTTAAAGTTTTTTCGGTCCTTTCCTACCAAAATCCTATCAAGTTTTATCCGCTAGTTATATTTTTATTCTCTTTAAAAGGATTTCTGTTGAATCATAAAAAATATTTTACCTATTATTTTTATTTTGTTGTATACATATAAAGTCCAAAATTCTTTAAATTTTTATATTATCCACAAATATGGCTTGCAGAGCGGAGCTTGGGGGGCCCTACTCTGTCTTCACGGTCAAACTATTCTTGAGAAGTCTGTCGGCTTAATCCTGCTAGGAACATTAATCAGCCTTTAGAGCTTACGATCTATTGAAGAATTAGATAGGATAGAAAGTTTAAAAAAATTGGGCCAAAAATTTATTAAATGAATTAAAATTTACTTTAATAAACTTAAAAATAAATTAAAATTCTACTTAATTAATTCTATAATTCAATTTAAAAATAAAAAATTTTTAAAGGCAAATCAAAAAAATCAAAGTCTCTTGGAAGATATTGATCAATTAAATTCGGAAAAAATAAATCTTATTAAAGAATTTAAGGAGAAAATTAAAGTAATTAATGATCAAATAAAAGAGGTAGAAAAAATTATTTTAATTAAATTTAGTTTAAATCAACAAAAATATTTTTAACAGGCGAATACTTCAAGTAACGAGAAAATTAATTTAATTGAAGCCAAACTTGGGGAATTATACACTAATTTGGACAAATTACAAAATGAAACTGAGAAGCCAGTGGTTTGTTTTATTTTGGTTATTAGGGCTGGCATTTTTTGGTTAAAATTTTCAATTAAATCTGATTTCTGGAGCTACAAAATTCTCAAAATCTTGAAAAAAACGCTTAAATTTTCTTTCGATTCCCCGAAATTTCCCCTTAAAAAATTTTTCCTCGTGGATTTCCCACATGCAAAAATTTTGCTCATTCATTTTCATGTTTTGTCAGCCTTACTAAATATTAAAGTAAGAATTTCCTTGTTTTCAGCATTTTGTAAAACTTGACAACAAATTAACATCAATTTCAACCGTCAAAACATGCTGTAAAGATGCTTGTATTAATTCTAATGTATCAGAAGGGACTTGCATTAATAATAAAGGATTTGTCCGTATTGTTGATTATTTAAAAGTAGAGTATCATTCTGTTGAAGGGGGGAAAGGTTGGAAAATCAGAAAATTTAAGTGGAAATTAAAATTTAAAAAATTTAAGAAAACAACAAAAAGATTAAAGTACTTGGACAACGCTCGTTTAATAAACCAACAAATAATTATGATCAACATTTGTTTTATTTTGAAATTAAAATTATTGAGAAATCAGATAATCAAAAGTAATTTTAACTTTTATAATTCTGAAAATAATGCTGAATTTTAACTAAAACAATTTTAAGTTGTTATGTTGGAGTTGGACTTGAATATAAAAGGAATTACACTCGTGAATGTGATTCCAATGTTGGAGATGTTTATGGGTGTGCGGTTGTTTTTCCGCCAATGAATGAAAAGAAGAAGCTTCCTTTCTATTTTTGTACAAAAAATGGAAATCGAGTTGATGGTGAGTTCCAAGAATAAAGGGATTGAAAATGCGGCTAATTAAAAGTTTACTAAACACTTAAAAAAGATAAGAATTTATTTTTTCAATGGGTCTCGTTGAGTGGGATAGCAGCTTTAGTAGTTTACGGAAAATAATCATAAAATTATTCTAAAAGGGGTTTGAAATTTAGCTTTTTCTAAACTTCAAAATAATTAAATTAATCGGTTTAGGCAATACATATGTTCTTAACGAGGAAGGAGACTCTTTTCGTCCATTTGTTAAACTTCGTTCCTGTTCTGTTGAAATTAATTTTGGAAATGATCTTGAGAATAAGCCTTTCTGTTATGATATTACTAAAAATATTTGAATAATTTTTTTTTGCTCCAAATAAAGTAGTTCACGACAGATTTAGGACTGAAAATTTTATCAAAAATTTAAATTCTAATTGAAAAATAAGTGCTTTTAAAAAATTTTCCCCCAAAACAAACCCATTATTTGAGTAAAATCCATAACTGAGATCCAGATTTAAAATATAAAATTTTAACGGTGCTAAATAACTAGTGAACTATTTTTTTAAGTTTCAATTTTATATTCTTTTTTAATTTCCTTAAATTTTTCTTTATTCAATTTTTTGAATTCACAAATTTATTTTTTTGCTTCACTTTTAAAATTTTTAGAATAATTGTATTACTCTCATTTTATTCTTCTTTTTATTTGTTTTTTTTTTGTCTTTTTGTGATTATTACTTTTTAAAGTTTATTATTCCAGTTTCGCATTTTTAATTTTCTTTACTACATAAAATTTGCATAAAGTGAATGTTTATCCAATGAAAGTTTATGAGTTCATGAATTCATCCTTCGAGATATCTTGCTTTTCATTTTTACTCTCATTTTCCTCCTTTCCTTTATATTCGTTAATTTCCTTCTTCCACTCCTCCTTTTCCTCCAGTTTTTCATTAATTTCTTCCATCTCCTCTTCATTCTCCTTCTCTTCATTAATTTCTTCAATTATAGTACTAACTTCTTCCGGTTTACTTGTAGTCATTTCATCATTTTTATTTTCTTTCTCTTCTTTGCCTTCATTAACTGAATGAGTAGTCTCTTCCAAATAGATTCCTTCCACAAAATTTTCTTCTCCCTGCGAAATTTCATCCTTCTTGTTTTGGTCGTTCTCTTCCTCTCCCGGTTGTCCTCCATCTAATTCAACGAAATCAGGCCAAACTGGAATCTTTGGCTGTGTAGAATGTTTCTTACCTTCTCTTTAGTTGTGTTAGATGTTTCTGTTGTTTTGTTAATTGTTTCTATTGTAGGCACTAAATTGTTGTAGGCACTAAAGTAGTTTTCAATTTTCTTTAAACAGCTTAAATATTTTTGTTTGTTAATTTCTCGAAATGACTATCATTCCTTCTAATTTTAACTCTGCTTCTAATTCCAACAAAATTCCAATAAAACGTCCATTCACTCCTTCTTCGCCTGAACAACCAGCAAAAAGACAACAATTCTTGGACCAAATTGCCAATCTTAGCCTTGATCCCATTCAGGAAGACCCCTCAATATCACCAGCAGCCAAAACCATCATTTCCCAACTTAATAACCTATTAAAAACTGCAGCATGTATAATCACAGAAATGACTCACCATCCAGAAATTTCCCAACAACAAATAGTAAATGCTATCTCCGAAAAGGAAAGGAAGCGCTCAGTGGTTATTTCAGGTCTCCCTTCATCCACCCAATCTTTACCCTCTGCACGAGCTAACGATGATAAGCAAAATGTTAATTGTATTCTCGATAAGTTGGGTATCGAGATTTGCCCACAGTCGGTATATAGGCTAGGCAAGGACCACCCAACTAAGAAAGGTGCTCCACCCCTTCTCAAGGTCGTCTTTCCGTCTTCTTATTTTCAGAAATCCACTCTACACTCTTGGTCCAAACTACGAAACAAAATTAAAGAAGTACAATTATTCCGCAATTTGGGCATCAGACAATCTTTGACATTGGAAGAACGCACGGCTCGAAAGAATTTGCAAGCTGAATGCACAAAAAAGAGGTCTGAAGACAAAGGTGACTGGATAATTTATGCCAACACTATTACGTTACGCGAAAATATTCCCAATCTCCGCAAGACACTTATATAGGATAATCCAGGGATTCTAAAATATTTAGGTAAAAGATATCTCAACCACAGCCACATTCAAAACCCCTTAAATTTTACAAATACATACTGTTCTAAAATAAACAATACAAGCATTACACCCTATAATAAAAACAAACAAAAATTTACAAGCCTAAAATCTGTTCTAATAAACAGCCGATCCCTTATTAACAAAATTAAGGAATTTAAAAACTTTATATTACAAAATCAATATGATATAATTTGCGTCACAGAAACCTGGATACACGATAATATCATGCTTTCTAATGAATTAAATGCCAAAGGAAAATACTCAATATTTACTTGTAATCGCTCCTCTGAAAAGAAAAAAAAGGGAGGAGGAGTAGCAATACTAACACTAAATCCAATAAAAGCGGCTGAGGTTTATACCCAAACCCAATTTGGATACGAATTAATCATTATTGACATTATAAAAAAAGGTTCTTCAAACTTACGACTTATATTAATATACTTTCCACCCAATCTCACAAAAAATTCAAATGAACAGCTAATTAAAACTCTCAAAAAATTCTATACTTTTAACACAATCATATGCGGTGACCTCAATAAACCAAAAATAAATTGGAATACTCTTTCCTCCTCGCTAGCCCTGGACGAAACATTTTTAAATTTTATAACAAACTATCAATTTAAACAACTAATTAAAGACCCAACACATATCTCGGGCTCAATTCTCGACTTAATTATCACTAACCAAATAAATTTAATAGATAATGTTCAAGTTAAGTATGGGTTTTCAACCTCCGACCATTTCCGGGTAGATTTTGATATCAAATTTACAAAAGATCTAACCCAAAATACCTTGTATCGTGCTTTTACTAAATCTAACATAAACAGAATAAAACCAATCGTAGCATATAACTTTTCATTAATGGAATCTTTCCCAAACATATCCAACTCAGTTAACGAAAAATTTGATAACTTTCTTGCACTGTTTCAAACAATAATTGAGCAAAATATTCCTCTTACACTAAACAAATCCCAATCGGGCCACCATTACCCACCCCATATACAAAAAGCAATTAAAGATAAATATACTCTCTTCAAGCAAATGAAACAAAACCCTTCATTAAGAATCGAATACAATAAAATGTCCAATAAAATTAAATACCTAATCAGAAATTATCAAAATAACTCTATTTCCAAGATCTCTAACAACAAAGACTTAATACACAAGCATATAAAAACACATATAAAATCCAAGCAAACTATTCCAGTACTTATTAATAACAATGAATACCTAATTGAAGATTCAAAAAAATCGCAAGCTTTTGCAACACACTTTTCCGCATTATTTAACAATATACCAACTAACCAAAATTTAAAAAACACGTTTCCTGTATTATGTCAAAATCAAATCGAAGACATAGACTTTGACATAATAACTGTCGCCAACATTTTTAAAGCAATACCTAACAGAAACTCCTCCACACAAGAAGACATACCCTACAAGATTCTAAAAAATTTCCACGACATAATTGCTCCGAACCTATGCGAGATTTTTCGTATTTCATTAGACACCGGGGAAATCCCAGACAAATGGAAACACTCAACAATCATACCTATATTTAAAAATGGAAATAAATCAGAAATCCAAAATTATAGACCTATATCACTCACTTCTACTACTTGTAGAATTTTTGAAAAAATAATTCATTCAGAATTGTTGAAATTCCTATTAGAAAATAATTTATTATCCAAAAATCAATTTGGTTTCCTACCTAAACGGTCAACAACAACCCAACTTATACTAACCCTTAATAAATGGTATGAGGGCCTTCTGCACAAAAAAAATATTGATGTACTATATATTGATCTACAAAAGGCTTTTGATCAGGTCCCCACGAAACACCTCCTAAACAAACTATATTCTTATGGAATTAGGGGCAAAATCCACAGATGGATAAGTAACTTTCTCATTAATCGTACCTTCTCTGTAAGAATCAATAATGATGAATCAAGCACATTACCAATATTCTCCGGGGTTCCACAAGGCTCGATCTTAGCCCCCCTATTATTTACAATCTATATAAATGACCTCCCGTCAAAATTAGGGGATAATGTTTTTACATCACTATACGCTGATGACATTAAGATAACCCATATTTATAAAACACAAGACAATCTCCTACAGGAGAAAATCAATATCCTTAATTCATGGGTAAAAGATTGGGGCCTAAATATATCTCTCAATAAATCTTTTATATTCAATATAGGTACAAAAAATCCAAAAAATTCGTATAATCTTATAAACCATGAAATACAACACGTTGAAACAGTAAAAGACTTAGGCATCCTTATCGACAATAAACTTACCTTCAAAAATCACATTAAAAGTATATGCAAACTTGGCATTTTTAAGGTCCCACCAAGTACTACGTCATATACATACATCCAATCCCAAAACTTGGGGTAACATATTTAAAACATATATTCTTCCTACCCTAGAATATGGATCTCCAATATGGAACCCAACTTCAAAGGAATTAACTAAGGATTTAGAAAGGGTACAAAAATTCTTCACTAAGACCGCTCTCTTAAAATGTAAAAGGAAGAAACTTAACTATACTGAAAGATTAAAATTATTCCAACTCGAGCCGCTACAAATTAGAAGGTATTATATAGATGTCATAACATTATACAAAATTTTATTTAACCATACAAGTTTGATCCCAAATGAGCTTTTCACCTTAAATATACGCCCAAGCAGAAAGCACGATTATATTATCCAGGTTTCTGATAAAAACGCCAAAACAATAAATTCCTTTATAAACAGAACAGTAAATATTTGGAACATAATTCCAAAAAATATTTTTACAGACCACACATTAAATAGTTTCAAGACCAATTTAAGACCCATACTGCCCCAAATTCTTCAAAAACAAAAAATAATAACTTAAAAAAATAAAATAATAACCTAAATCCAATACAAATCTCAACCCTAAATATTAAAGAATCCCTGAATAATCACCATAATTATTTTACAAAATTACGTAATTTTAAATTCAAAAAACTACTATATTCACAAGCAGATTAACGTTTTGACCGGCAATATAAACCTTATTTATTTTTCTTTATGACAATCTCCACACCCCCCAAAATTGACATACTTATACATAGATTTAAATTCAGTTATTTTCTCATTCCTAAATTTATTTATTTTTTTTTTCATTTCCAACATAATTTACATATTTTCTCATTCCCAATATATATATTTTTTTTTCTTTTAAGCAAAACTCAAAATATCTTTAAACAGCTTAAATATTTTTGTTTGTTAATTTCTCGAAATGACTACCATTCCTTCTAATTCTAACTTAAATATATTTATTTTTCACAATATTTTTATTTTTTTGTACTCATCCATTTCAGCGGTATATTATATACCCTTTGGTATGAATAAATTTAACAATTCATCCTTCGAGATATCTTGCTTTTCATTTTTACTCTCATTTTCCTCCTTTCCTTTATATTCGTTAATTTCCTTCTTCCACTCCTCCTTTTCCTCCAGTTTTTCATTAATTTCTTCCATCTCCTCTTCATTCTCCTTCTCTTCATTAATTTCTTCAATTATAGTACTAACTTCTTCCGGTTTACTTGTAGTCATTTCATCATTTTTATTTTCTTTCTCTTCTTTGCCTTCATTAACTGAATGAGTAGTCTCTTCCAAATAGATTCCTTCCACAAAATTTTCTTCTCCCTGCGAAATTTCATCCTTCTTGTTTTGGTCGTTCTCTTCCTCTCCCGGTTGTCCTCCATCTAATTCAACGAAATCAGGCCAAACTGGAATCTTTGGCTGTGTAGAATGTTTCTTACCTTCTCTTTAGTTGTGTTAGATGTTTCTGTTGTTTTGTTAATTGTTTCTATTGTAGGCA